GGCACGTGAGTAGTGCTGGGAACCTGGGAAATGGAGCCTCCCTCACCTCCACCCCTGCAACCTTGCCAACCAGGCCTCAGAGCAGCACAGAGCCAGGAGAAAAATCTATCAGGAGAGGGAGATGGAGAATAACCAGCTACACATTGAAAACCCCATAGGGAGGGAGCTTTGTGCTTGGGGCTGGGGGAAGGGGGCAGACTGAGGGGCGGGGGCCAGAGGGAACCTGGAGACACGGGTGGAAGGAAGCTGACACGGGGGCAGGGATGGGTGCCGGAAATATTTTATGCCTAAAACTCAACTACCAACAACTTTGTAAATAACGATTTTTTGGTTAAACATTTTGAAATAAATAAAAGAAACCGCAACTTTATCAATATGAGACAAATTCTAGATTCAGTAATTCTATTTTAGAGTGGTTCTCTCACTTGGGCTAACCTTCAGTGTCTTAGAGGAATGAAGAGGAAGTTTCTCCCTTCCCCTCTGGGTTCTTTTGGGGCTAATGGAACAATCAAATTAACCTCAGATTAGTGGGAGAAAAAAACAAAAAACAATTCCAGATGTATAGAGAAGCTAGATTCTCCGAAGTAATGGGCAAAAATGAGAGTATAATTCTGAGAAATGCAGTAAGGGCCTGGGACTTCAAGGAGAGGGATTCACGTGATAAGATTAATGTGGCAAAGACCAGATGATCAGTAATCTGTAAACCTTGCTTAAAATATCTATGGGGTCAATATTGTTTTGTTCTTTCAGTTTGGGGGTCACATTTGGTGGTGCTCAGGAGTTATTCCTGGCGGTGCCTGGGAGATTTATGCCAGGGTTGGCCAAAATAACCACATTCAAGGGAAGTGCCTTATTATTTATTTAATTAGTAAATCACTGTGAGGTACAGTTACAGGCATAACAAATTTTTGTGCTTTCGTTTCAGTCCATCCCTCCAGGCCTTAGTTTTTATACGATCTTTCTGGACCCTTGGTTTGTTTATTTATTTGGGGGGGGTTGTTTGTTTATTTTGAGATATCATGGATGGAACACAGGGTCTCACACATGCCAGGTGAATGCTGTATCACTGAACCCCATCCAGTCCACACAGCGAGGTCTTTCTGCTAGTAAACTATTTCTGGTAACTCTAATCCTAGGTAAGACTATTTCACTGCACTCCCAATTTTCATCTTCCTACGTTTGTTGTTGTTGGGACTACACCTGGCAGTGCTCAGGGGTTACTCTTGACTCTGCACGCATGAATTACTTCTGGCAGTGCTCGAGGGACCATATGGGTTGCTGGGGATTGAGCCCAGGTTGGCCACGTGCAAGTGTCCTGCCCGCTGTACCATCACTCTGGCTCCTCATCTCCCTACATTGTCCCTGGAATAATCAAAACTTTTCTTTAAGCCTTAGTTATAGGTCTTAGTTATAGGTTACCCTTACCTGAAAAGAGGCCACAAACCAAAGTGCCTACTCTGAACATTTGTGGGAGGTGTTCAGTCTAAGTCTCTTCCTGGGACCACTTCAGCACCTGGGGGCCACTGTGAAGTCTGGCTCCATTTGGGAAAGGAGACTGAGAAACTCGAGTGGAGAGCATGATGCTTTAAGACTGGGGCTCTGGAATGTGTGAGCTCATCAGAGATTTCAAAGGCCCTGATAGTGTCAGAGAGTTCCTGTGACAAGCTTGCACGTGGATACTGGTGGTAACCACAGGAGGCTGGAGGACAGAGACACCTTCCCCACTTTCTGGCATCGCTAGGCCAGACTGGATCCGGTGACGCTCCGAAGTGGGATATGCTTAATTCTACCTTTGATGAAATTTCTGCCAGTTTAGTGAGATTCAAGGAAGTTGGAGAGAGAGAGAGAGAGAGAGAGAGAGAGAGAGAGAGAGAGAGAGAGAGAGAGAGAGAGGTGGAGAGGGAGAGGGAGAGTGAGGGAGAGGGAGAGGAGATACAGAAGAAGGAAGAGGGAACTGGAGTTGAAATTCATCTCTCCATCCACAAAAATGGGGGAAATAGCATTTGAGTGAGCAAGAGAAAACGCCAAAAACCAACAATACAGTTAGTGTGAGGATTATGTGAGATAATGATACAAGGAGGGAATTAAGCTGTCTGAGCACACGGTAAGAGTTCGCTGTTAACCTCTACTATTTGGGATAGTAGTGGTAGTTATTTGCAGTGGTAAAAACTTCAGCCCCAGCACTAAGCCAATGGGACACGTTGCTCAGTGACTCTGGATATGAGTCTTCGTTTATCACTTGGGACTGAGCTCCCAGAGAAGGCCCATGTGCATCTCCCACCCCTCCCCAGCCCCCAGAGGATGCGTGCGGATCACCAGGGTGTCAGGGAAGGGTGGAAGCTGGGACCCAGGAGACCTGTTGGGCTGTTGCTGCCCACTTGGACCCACTGAGCTCTGGTCCCCGTTCCCCATAGGGAGGAAGGATGCTATTGGGTCTGCGCAAAGGGCAGCCAAACTCTGCACTTGGAGAACAGCCTAAACTCTGTCAGAGGCCTTGAACTTTTTGTTTGGTTGAAAAATCAGGGCTCAGTGAAGGGACATGTAGCTCTGATAACATTCTGTAAAATGGGATCACAACTGTGCCCATCTCAGAGGATTACTGTAGGGTTGAGATGATCCACATGGAAGCTTTTAGGACGGCACTAGAACCAGCTCTAATAAGCATTAGTGTTGCTGATTATTTACATCCTGTGAAGAAAACCAGTGGTAGGACCAGAACGACAGTACAGCAGGTAGGAGCTTGCGTTACATGCAGCTCACCAGGGTTCGATCCTCCGCATCCAAAATGGTCTCCTAAGCACCGCCAGAGTAATTCCTGAACACAGAGCCAGAAGCAAACTCTGAGCATCACTGGTGTAGACCCCAAACAAAATAAACAAACAAAACCCCCAAAAGAAAAGCAGTGGTAAAGTCCCAGGCTATTGAGATGGTACACAGAGCAGGCAAGTTTGGGCAAGTGGACGGAGGGCAAGGCCAGCTCACATGGAGACGCAGCTTGTCATGCATTCCTCTGCCAAGGTAAAACCATGCTCCTTCGTGATCTGGTCCCTGCTGACCTTTTTCTTTTCTTTCTTTTTTTGGCATTTGCAAGTTTATTTTACCTGTGCCCAGATTGTAAGTGATGTTTCTAAGGAAACGTACTATTGGCATTTAGAAAGCGCAACATTAGCCATGGAAACAGGGGTGGGGGGAAATACCAAGATAATTTGAATTATTTCAATTCACCTAGGATGACACAAATGGAACTTAAAATAGTTCTACTTGTTCCTATTGGGATCAGCTGGAGGTTTCCTAACATTTCTGGTATGCTAATAGCTTAATTCTAATTTTTACCCCCTTTGAAAAAAAAAGATTCATGTATATTTTACCAGTTATTAGGTTTTCATATTTTATCATCTTTTTCACATATATAAAACATAATCTATATCTATCTATGTCTCCACCCCTATATACATGTATGCATACTTTTTTCCTGTCTCTGTTGTCTGATTTTTCCCTATGTTACCTAGAATCAGACTCAGTGTCTCACATATACATAAGATACATATAAGACAAGTGCTCTACCTCTGAGCTCTAACTCGGTTCCGACATTTTGGGAGAACACTTTTGAGACCAAGTTGCACACATCACGCCTCTTCCCAACTGGTTAGTTCCATGGACATATGAAAAAGAATGAACACTGCATTTTATAACCTCAATGTACTGGTCACATTTAAATTAGTCCAACAGCATTTTCTAATTCATCATCCACATCCACCTGTACAATGATCTCACTGTCACTTATACTCTTCTTTTTTTTAAATTAGTAACAGCTAAAATTTTAATCTAGAAGAGCAGCCTCTGTCTTTTACCTACTGCAATATTTCTTGAACCTCAGACAGAATAGCTCTCCATCCCCCACCCCCTCTACGCCCCAATACTGAGTGTTTTTCGGGAAGCTTCATGATGTCTTAGTTTCACATCTTTTCATTTAAAAAGAGTGACTTTTACAAGAGACAGGCTGGAGCGATAGCACAGCGGTAGGGCATTCGCCTTACAAGCGGCCAACATGGCCGACCCGAGTTCGATTCCTCTGCCCCTCTCGGAGAGGGGAGCCCCTCTCGGAGAGCCTGGCAAGCTACCGAGAGTATTCGATATGCCAGACACAGTAACAACAAAGTCTCCAATGGAGACGTTACTGGGCCCGCTCGAGCAAATCGACGATCAACGGGAGGGCCTTTACTTACTTTACTTTACAAGAGACTGTTGGCTACTTTAATATCACTGTCATCCGGTTCATCAATTTACTCGAGCGGGCACCAATAACGTCTCATTCATCCCAGCCCTGAGATTTTGGCAGCCTCTCCTTACTCGTCTTTCCCAACGTATTGGAGGCTCTTTCAGGCTCAGAGGAATGAGGCCTGTTATTGTTACGGTTTTTGGCATATCGAATACTCCACAGGTAGCTTGCCAGGCTCTGCCATGCAGCTACTGTAATAAGTTTATTACATTTTTTTTGTACTTAGTAAGTTTAAAGTGTGATTTAGGAGGTAGGAGGAAGGACAGTTAATACAGGAAATTCTGCGGTTTTTCTGATTTCAGCTAAATCAAGGGAGAGTGCGGACCCTCAAGACCTCTAGGAGGGGCGTGGGGAGTCCACAGGGATGCTGGGAAGAGAAGCCTGGGGATGCACGGGCGGAGCCACGCCCACCGGCCAACGTGCGCATGCAGCCGGAAGTAGCGCGGGAAACCACAGCAACGAAAGGCGCTTCTTCATTCACTCAGCGGGGAGCGGCGCAGGGCGGCGCAGCCGCGGGAGACAGGCGGCCTGCGCAGCCGCGGGAGACAGGCTGCCTGCGCAGCCGCAGAAGGAGACGGGTGGCCTGCGCAGCCGCAGACGGGCGGGTCCGTACAGCCTCAGGAGGCGCTGGGCGGGTCTGCGCAGCCGCAGGAGAGGTGGGCGGGTCTGCGCAGCCGCAGTGAAACCCCGGGGGGGGTCCCGCGGCTCAGCGCGGCCCCGCCTCTGAGGGTGCGCGGCCTCAGGTAGCTACCGCCGGGCTGCTCCGGTCTGCAAGACCCTCCCCGCGGGGGGTGAGGCCGGCTCCACGGCGCAGTCCTGGGTCGCTGCCCTGCTCCCCTGATCCGCCGCCATCATGCTGCTGCCCGTGTTCACCCTGAAACTGCGCCACAAAATCAACCCCCGCATGGTGGCCGTAGGGCGCTACGACGGGACTCACCCGTGCCTGACGGCCGCCACCCAGGCGGGCAAGGTAACTGGCCCGAAGCCCGGGTCCCCGCGGTCCCTGGCGGGCCAGCACCAGCCCTGGTCCCTGCGGCCCCGCCCCTCCGCCGAGGCCCCGCCCCCAGCCGGGATGGTTGCCGGGCAACGGGCAGGCTGCCAAGCGTTTGGTTGCTGCTCGGCGCGGTAGAGCGATTTATCTGAGCGGTTAGCAGTCTGGCCCCTGGACCTGCGCAGTGATGGGTGGAAACCCTTTACGGATAGAGCGCTTGGTTGGGGAGAGCGGGGCGGGACGGGGAAGCCTCTTGAAAGGGTGAATGTAACGGAGCCCAGTATTGGCAATTCCAGGGCTTCCACCAGCTCGCCTCTCAACACCAATTTTCCTGAGGGAGTGGAAGGTAGCGGGGGAGTGGAGGGGGTTGTAAAATGCAGTCTCCTAAACTCAGCACTTTTGGACTTTATCCGTGTGCGCATATGCCTTCCCTCCTAATTGGTTCACTGAAGACTTATTAGGTGCTAACATGTGCCAGGTTACCATGCAAGGCGCTTGGAGAGATTCAGTCATTTATTCATGACAAGGCTTTGCATGAGCGTGGCCTTTGTGCTGTTGGGATTCAGAGAACACTCCGGAGTTTCTACCTCCAGAAAGTCAGGCGGTCAACAGACGAGGCAAATCAAGGCCTTGCGTATTGATAGAGGCATGGATTCTCATGTCCATCTAGCGCACATACGTGAGCTAGAGACACTCGTGCAATAAGCCAACAGGCTCAAAGCCAGTCTTTGCCTTAATTACCTCAGCATCTTTGCTACAAAGTCAAGCACAGCTGCAAGGTGGGGTAGGGTGGATCCTGGCCCAGTACCCACTAGTTTCTTGACCTTGGTCCTTAATTAAATAAATTAATGTGTCCAGTTGATGGTCAATAGAAAATAGTAATAGCTGTGATTATTTCCTTTTGTATTACTTCTACTTGACTGATTAGAGGTTCAAAGAATGTTCGAAGCTTCCGGACTAGAAAGTGGTGGAAATGGAATTAGAGGGTATGTTCTTTGGTCCAGTGTGAATTTGACAAGTGAACATTTATATAAGGACTCACAGGGCTTTTTTTGGGGGGGGGGAAGGACATTCAGCAGTGCTAGGACTTATTCCTGCCTCTGGGGAACCATGTAGGATGCCAGGGGTTGAACCCGGGTTGGCTGCATGCAAGGTAAACACCCTACTGTACCATTACTCCAGGATTTATCGTTTTGTTTGTTTTGGTATTTGGGCCACACTTGATCAGGGGTTACTCCTGACTCTACACTCAAGAATCACTCCTGGGAGTGCTGATATGGGTTTCCCTGGATGGAACCTGGGTCTGCCGCGTGTGTGGCAGGTGGCTTACCCATTATACTATTGCTCTGGCCCCGTGGATTTGCAGTTTTCAAGGAAGTTTTGCCACTGCCTTGTTTTCTGCTATCACATGCCTTAGGATACATACGTAAAAAGTCATGTTTCATTTTGATTGGTAAAACCAAGCAAAGCCCTTTGCATGACACATTCTTGTTGGTGTAGCTGTCTCTACAGTGAAATTAGTGGACGGAAAAGGTTTGGTTGACACTAGTTCAGCACTTCCTTTATTGAGGGCCCCTGGGTGCTGTGAGCTGTTAGCTCTTACAGAGCAAGGGTGAATGTGACACATGAGACTCACCTTGGATCTCACATGTGAAAATAGGGAGACACAGAGCAGAAAGCACGTGCATACTCTTGCAAACAGCTTGGGACTAGAGGAGCTGGGGTGATGGGAGATTGCTGTTCTCTGAGCAGTCTCTGTTAAGATCACATTAATCAACGGTTTGACAGCAGTGATGTAGCGTGCTCCATGGAAATGTGGGATACGGTGGCTTCTGGGCAAAGGGATGAGTCTGTGTAAAGGCCTTGTGGAGGAGAGATGGCCTTTGTGGGTTCCAGAAACTGGAGGCTACAAGGCTAGAATGAAGCCTAGGAGTGAGGTAGCCAGGGGACTAGATCATATGACCTTATGGGCTGTGGTTTTGAGGCATTGGTTTTGAGACACTGGTTTTGAGGAAGTCGGTGATGGGATTTGATTTCTGTTTAAAAGAAATGAAACTCTGGCAGGTGCTTGGGGGAGGTACTGCAGTAAGATGCGGGGTCATGGGTGTAGGAGTAAAGCAAGAAGCAAACTTGGTTTTCCCTGAAATTCTTTCCTTTGAATGGGACGTAGAAAGGCAGGAATATGGTATTTAGGTACTCTGGGAACCGAGCAGTGACAGGAATTGGTCCCATGGGAGGGAGGGAGAAGGGGAAAGATAAAGAGAGACCCTGTGTAGCCAGACACCATGTATTCAGATGTTTAAGCAAATCTTTAAAGCTCTGACTTTAAATATTTAAAGTTTTAAATCTTTAAAGATTTAAAAAGTCTTTTTTTTTTTCTTTTTGGGCCACACTTTCGATGCACAGGGGTTACTCCTGGCTCAGTTTTTCTGCACTCAGTAATTCCTGCACTCAAGAATTACTCCTGATGGTGCTTGGGGGACCACATGGGATGCTGGGTATCGAACTCAGCTTGACTGCGTGCAAAGCGAACGTCCTCCCTGCTGTACTATCACTCCAGTACCTTTATTTTGATGTAAAAATATTGGGATGGGGTAATAGCTTAACATCCAAGACAGTAAACAAATATTTCCTCTTTTAAAAACATCCCAGGGCCAGGGAGATAGTTCAAAGGGATGGAACACATACCTTGTATGCTCGAGGCCCCAAATTTGCTCCTCAGCACCATCAGGATGTCCTTGGTGGCCCTCAACTCTTCCAGGAAGAACCCTGGACCCTCAGGCTTGGCCAGTTCAGCCCAACATAGGTAGAAGGGCCTCAGGGCTCTCAGCACCACTGAGGAGGTGCCTTCTAAAAATAGCTCAAGACTCCAGTTGAGGCTAATGCATCCTCATCTACTGAACCCTCATTTGTAGAAACAGTACTTGTGATGTGGGAATCTATTGTGAATGGAGAGCTAGTTTACTGATACCTGTTCTCTGATTCAGAGCAAGGATTTTTTTTTTGTTTGTTTTTGGTTTTTGGGTCACACCCGGCAATGCACAGGGGCTACTCCTGGCTCATGCACTCAGGAATTTCTCCTGGCGGTGCTCAGGGGACCATATGGGATGCTGGGAATCGAACCCCGGTTGGCTGGTTGCAAGGCAAATGCCTTATCCGCTGTGCTATTGCTCCAGCCCCAAGGCTATTTTGAAGACAATTGTTTGTGTTGTCCTCTGGGGACAGCATGGAGCTGAGGGCATCATTGAGTGTCAGCTGTCAGCAGTCTCCTGTTGGCTAGATGTGGCCGCTAGACCCAACAGTCCTTTGAGGATGCTGGAAGTGGTCTATTTGTTGGATAACCTCGATTTTTTTCTAGGATGGGAGAATACAGCAGTTAGGGTGCTGCCTTTCATTGGGCTGACCCGGGTTCAATCCCTGTTATCCCTGAGCACCACCAGAAGTGATCCCTAAATGCGGAAGAAGCAGGAGGGAAGCTTGGGAGGACTCGTGGAACTCCTCTTCTTGGAAGCAAACCCCAGCCTATTTTCATACCCGTAACGAAGAATGTGAAGTATGGAGATTATTTCCTATCTCGTTCTTTCTGAGCATACCTACTAGATTACTCCATTAGATTTCTCCTGCCCAGAATCGTTATAAAAGCTCAAGCTCAGGTCTGGAACCAGACACCTGTCTTTATGTCTCAGTTTTACCACTCGCAGCCTCAAGACTCATTGTGCGCCTCAGTAGATTAGGGGTCGTGAGGGTTAAATGCAGTAATTTTTCTAGAAGCATGTTGTGTTGTGCTATGGTACAGTTTCTAATCAGTTCCTTTGAACATTTTTTTGTTGTTGTTTTATTGAACATTTTACTGTGTTTAAATGATTTAACCCTGGGACCTGGGAAGCAGATTCAGAGGGCGGCACATGGGAGCAGGAGTTGTGTCCACAGCACTGCATGCCCCTGCCCTCAGCAGCACCAGTTGTAGCCCTACGGGCTCTCAGCACTATTGGGCAGCCTTAGTACCCCTGAGCCTAAGCATCAAACCTTGAGGCCAGGTATTGCTGGGAGTAACCCCCGAGTCCCTTGAGCACTGCTTGGGTGCCTCCTACCATTAGCTTTTTTTTTTTTTTATTCCCTGTATACCAAAGGATCTAATACTTAGATGAGTGAGTTTTATAATTAGAAGGGATTGCTAGTTTACAAGAGCTCTCTAGTCCAGTCTTTTTTTGTTTGCTTTTTTTGTTTTGGTGCCACAGCTAGCGATGTTCAAGGTTTTCTCCTGGCTCTGCATGAAGGAATTACTGATGGTGGTGCTTGGGGGACCTTATGGGATGCTGGGAATTGAACCCAGGCCAGCCATTTGCAAGGCTAAATGCCCTACCCACTGTACTTACTGCTCCAACCCCTCTCTTATCTAGTCTTAACCAATTCTTTTGAATTTTCCTGTTTCTCCTTCCTTCCATGAAGCTCTTTTTTGGACAGTGAAATTTTCCCTAATGAAATTTTAATAACAGTTATATCTTTTTTTTTGGTACTATGATTTCTGAGCCCGGCAAGCTACTGATGACCACTAACCATTCTAATAAGGCCCCCCTCCCCAAACTTAGTTGTCCCTTTTGAGAGCAGTATTACCCCTCTTGAGAATTAATGTTCAAGTCCAAACCTTATTATTATTATTTTTCAATAGCCAAAGCCCAAGGAAATTGAATGTGCAGATATATAGGTGATTGTGATCCTTGAAACTACCAGTTACTTTTGGGCTCATCATTCATTCTCTCTTAGTAGTCTAGACTCTGGGGTCTTAAACTTATAACTGAATATGGGGGTGGTGAAAAATCTGGGAACAGTGAAAGGTTTCTGGACCCAAAATTGTTCACAGTCCACCGTGGAGTGACCCTGAGGTGCTTCTGGCAGCTCTGCCCGTGTTGTTTCTAAAGGAGTGATGAGAGGAAGAGGCTTGGGGATCCCCCCCGTCTAGACCTGTGTTGGTTTCCCAGACAAGAGCCATGTGGTCCCTGGTGAGCCCCCAAGATATTCCAAGGGGGTGGGGAAAAATCACAAAAATGGGGGGCAAAGCCTGAAACTGGGACCCACAGAGGGGAAACAGTGTCTTAAGTAGCCACGGTTGTTAGAAAAAGGTTGAGAAATCACGGACTTACCCATGAAAGCAAGGAGCTCCATGTGTATGAGTCAGTTTGTAACAACCAACTTCAAAACCACCAGTTTTAATTTGAAAAACTAGAGTGCCATGGATTACAAAGTTAAATTTTTTAAAACATTTTTTCAGGTGTTTGGATAAAAGATACTAAAGGAAAGGCACAGTTCATTTTTGGTGGTGGAGGGCAGGCACCATATTCGATGGTACTCAGGGCTTACTCCTGACTCTGCACCCAGGGGTTATTTCTGGTGGGACTCAGGGGACCGTATGTGGTACCAGAGGATCAGACCCCGGTGCATGTAGGGCACGCGCCCTCCCTGCTATACTATCTCTCTGGTCCAAGGCTCTATTATTTTCTGTGATCTTCTTGGTTTGTAGCAATCATGTTGTAGCAGCTTCCTAAAGGTTAATCAGGAAAAGGCTGATCTGTTTGAGGCTTTTGATTTCCACAGTGGGCAGCTGCTAAATGATCCTCTAAGCCACAACTAGATCTTGTCCGCTGTCTGCACTTTACGAGACCAAGAACCACTGGATGTTCATAGTGACTGAAGGCTGGCCATCCCAGAACTGTGTGTCAGTGTGTTTTGAGTTTTGTAGGTGATTAAAGTGCCTTCTTAGTGCTGATACCTGTTCATAATCCAATTTGAAAAAATAACAATCCAGGGGCTGGAGTGATAGCACAGCAAGTAGGGCGTTTGCCTTGCATGCAGCCTGACCCAGGTTCGATTCCCAGCATCCCATATGGTCCCCCAAGCACGGCCAGGAGTAATTCCTGAGTGCAGAGCCAGTAATAGCCCCTGAGGATTGCCGGGTGTGACCCAAAAAGCAAAAAATAAATAAATAAATAATAATCACTGTAATAATAATAATAATAATAACAATAAAACAACAATCCATTACATTTGGTATTATAAGGTACTTGAATAAACTGTTTCTGCTTTAGGTTTTTATTCATAATCCTCATACACGAAGCCAGCATTTCAGTGCATCCCGGGTCTTCCAGAGCCCCCTGGAGTCGGACGTTTCGCTTCTGAACATTAACCAGGCTGTCAGCTGCCTGGCTGCAGGAGTCCTGATCCCTGATCTTGGCTATGATGCTCTTGTGGTGGGGACACAGACTAATCTTTTGGCTTATGATGTCTACAATAACTCAGATCTGTTCTACCGAGAGGCAAGTATTCTCCTTTCTTAACATTGAGTTCTCATTACTGAGAACAGCTGAGATGTTTATTTTGGTTCGTTGATGAAATAGCTGTTGCAGTGTAAACAACGTGGAGATGTTCCATTTGCATCTGCTTCACACACTTGACATTAGGGAACGTGTCTGTGATGTTGCCACCTCTCCAGATCTATTGAGAATTCGCCCAAAGCCAGGAAACCAACAAACCTGTCTCTGGGTGGCGTTGCTTTAATGTTGAGTACAGTGCTTTGTAGGAGAAACACTTGGAGCCTGCCCTCTGCAGGCTGCTGCAGCTTGGATAGTCAAGGAATTCAAATTTACAAATAGGAATAATAGGGAAGCAAGCAAAAAGAATTCTTTCTAATTTCTTCACCTAGAAATAATACTTTAATCTTGATTTATCCAGAGCTATTTAATAAATACATAAATTTTATTTTTTACAAAATGGGATCATTGTAAATGTAGCCTTTTACTTTCAAAATTGCTTTATTTGGTATAATTCAGTTATTATGTGATTCACTCTTTAAGCTATACAATTCAGTAGTTCCATGTCTTCAATGGGAGTCATATAGCTACCATTGAAATCAGTGTGAAAATGTTTTCATTATTTTTAAAAGGTAAATAAAGGTCATACTTGTTACTTTCCTTTCCCCCCAGCCATTAATCTACTTTCTGTCAACTCTGAATATCTCATATGAATAGGATCATATAAATGTGGTCTCTTGTGACTTGAGTATTTAGTGGGTTTTTTTTTTTTTTTTTTTTTTTTTTTTGCCTTTTGGGTTATACCCAGTGATGTCCAGGGGTTACTCCTGGATCTGCACTCAGGAATTACCCCTGGCTGTGCTTGGGGGACCATATGGGATGCTGGGAATCAAACCTGGGTAGGCCACGCGCAAGCAAACGGCCTACCCGCTGTGCTATTGCTCCAGCCCCTGGTGGAATATTTTTTAAGGTTGATCTTTGATGTAGCAAATACCAGTACTTCCTTTATGATTTGATATTACTTCATAATTTATGTATTGTGCATGTATTCATCAGTTAATGAATTGTTTAATTTCCTAGCTATTTGGTGTGGCCTTCTCATGTAGAAGTGTATTGTGAACATCTTTATATGACATATGCTCATACTTATGCTCCATTCTTGCTGGTTCTATAATATTTGTGTGTTCTGTAATATTATTCTATCATTTGTTTAGTCACTTCCATGTTGTTTCATATTTGTTATTATCATAGTTTCTATATTGTAGTTGATATTTTGATAAGCTAAATGCTTGGCAGTTTCTCCAGCTATTTTCTTACAGTAATCTTGAAATGTACTTTTTTTAGAGGGAATTTTTGTTTGTTTTGTGTTTGGGTCATACTTGGAAGTGCTCATGAGTTGCTCCTGGTCTGGTACTCAGGGATCACTCCTTTTGGTACTCCGGGAACCAGGTGGAGGCACACCTGGGACGTACTTCTGGCTCTGAGCTCAGGGATCACTCCTCATGGGTCTTGGGGGGCCATATGGGATACTGGGGGTGGGACCCAGCTCGGCTATGTGCCGGGCAAGCACCCTACCCACTCTACTATTGCTCAACCCATCTGGAATACTTCTTACTATGGTAAGATATAGGCTGGAGCTATAGCACAGCAGGTAGGGCGTGTGCCTTGCACGCAGCCAACATGGCCGACCCAAGTTCGATTCCTCCGCCCCTCTCGGAGAGCCTGGCAAGGTACCGAGAGTATCCCGCCTGCATGGCAGAGCTTGACAAGCAACCCATGGTGTATTCCATATGCCAAAAACAGTAACAACAAGTCTCACGATGGAGATGTTACTGGTGCCTGCTCTAGCAAATCGGTGAACAACAGGACATCAGTGCTACAGAGCATGGTGAGATACACACAGAGAAGTATAAAACCCTTAAGCTTACCATTCTTTGAGTTTTTTTTTTCTTTTTTCTGCTTTTGGATCACACCTGGTGGTACTCAGGGCTGCTTGGTGTGCCCAGGTTACTTCCTTGCAGTGCTTGGGTCCATGGGGTGCAGGGATTGCACCTGGGCCTTTCACATGTGGCACGTGTACACTAGCTCTCTGAGCTCTCTCTGCAATTCAAGTTCACTGAAATTGTTTTTTTTGTTTGCTTTTTGTGCCACACCCAACAGTTCTCAGGCATTACTCCTGGTGGGACTCAGGGGGTATATGAGAAGGCAGGGATTGAACCAAGGTCAGCTGTGTGCAACAAGGCAAATACCTTCCCTGCTGTACTATCTCTCTGGCCCCAACCTACTTCAATTTTTGATGAGTCATTTCAACTAAGTCTTTTCTTTATAGTCAGCCATTTAAATATTTTTTCTATATTTTTCAATTAAAATGTTTCTATGTTATAAAGATTATATAAAATATATGGGTTCCGTTCCATCGGGACCCATGGCCTAGAATGGAATGAACAGGGTGAGAGACTGTCTGAGTTCATCATGTCGACCAAGACCATCCATGGTAACTCACAATTCCAGAAGGCTGAATCTAAACGTTGGACATGGGAGTCTCCTGGTGGACGGTTCCACAATGAAATTGACCACATCATATTCAGTCGACAGTTTTGCCTGACCGATGTCACTGTTGTCCCAAAATCCCAAATGGGATCGGACCACTGTCTCTTTCATGCAAAATTCTACCTCACGGAGCGGGGAGAAAGGGCTGCAAAGTTTAAGAAGAGAACTCCCAGAACGACCACTAACTGGGAGCTCTTTGGCACTATTGCTGCAACATGGGAAGATGCCGTCGTTGACAACATTGACGAGGAATACGATCGACTGGTTCAGCACCTCCATGATTGTGCGAAGAATGCCGAGAGAGATAGCCACAAAAAGATGCTTGTCTTCGAAAACTCTCGAGCTCATTCTCCAACGTGGCTTGGCGCAAGCCTCAGGCAACCGCAAGCGAATGTCCGAGCTTGCAAAGAAGTGCAGAGAAGCGATAAAGGAAGACCTCAGAGAGAGAAGAGCAGCAGTGCTGGCAGATGCAGCAAAAGCCGGGAAAAGCATTCGCAACGCCTGACTGTTCTTCACCAACTACAAGACCAAGATGACTACCCTTCGATGTCCTGATGGATCTATCACATCTTTCAGAAGGGCAATGGAGAAGATTATCTATGACTTCTACTTGGATCTCTTTAATAGCCACGTCCACCTGCCCACATACCAAATTCTGCAGGATGGATATGTCGTTCCCAACGTTCTCCCTTTGGAAATCCGACACGCCATTTCATCGGTAAAGAAGTGAATAGCACCCGGCCCAGACAAGGTCAGACCCAAACACCTGAAGAACCTGCCATCAGTACTCATCAATACACTGGCTCGGCTCTTCACATGCTACCAGTCTGAATGCAAGGTTCCACTGGGATGGAAAAACCAGCAGGACTATACTACTGTACAAGAAGGGAGACATCCACAACATTGTCAACTATCGCCCTATTTGCCTGTTGTCTGTCGTCTACAAGCTGTTCACTCGAGTCATCCTGAATAGGATTGGCAGAATACTAGATGAAGGACAACAGATAAACAGAGGAATGGGAGTGACTCAGGAGCTCTGTGATGAGTGTAACCCAATAAACCTAAAGCAAAGAGAACCTGTGGCAAAGAGAACCTGTGGCAAAGAGAAAGGGCAAGCCAATGTTATCCTACACATATGAGCAAGCCGGGTTCCGAAAAGGATTCAGCACGATCGACCATATCCACATGGTAACCAAGGTCATTGAGGTTTCTCGGGAGTTCAAGATGCCACTCTGTCTAACGTTCATTGGTTTATAGAAGGCCTTTGATTCTGTTGATACTGAAGTGGTCATGAAAGCCCTAGCCAAACAGGGCATTCAAACTCAGTACATTAGGATCCTCTGTGAGCTTTATTATGGATTCACTACCAGGATCTCACAAGGAAGTGATCATTCATGTCAAGAGAGGGGTTTGGCAGGGTGATACCATTTCACTGAAACTCTTCAGTGTCACCCTTGAGAATGTCATACAACGACTGGAATGGGAAGGAATGGAAGTGAAGATAGATGGTTGGCAACTACACCACCTCCTCTTTGCTGATGACATTGTTCTAATAACACCAAACATTAGCCAAGCAACACAAATGCTGGCTGACTTCAACCATGAGTATAGAAAGGTTGGACTCCAGCTGAACCTCACAAAGACAATGTTTATGAGAAACAGCCTCGTTCCTGATTCCCCATTCGCTCTCAACAAAACGAACATCTCTGAATGCAACAGTTATGTATACCTAGGTTGAGAAGTCAACATGATGAATGACCTAGCACCTGAGTTGTGCAGGAGGAATAGAGCGACTTGGAATACCTTCATGAGTGTCAAAGAAATAGCTAAGAGGACAAAGAACCTCCGGCTCTGGGAACATCTCTTTGATTCCACTGTTCTTCCTGCATTAACATACGCCTCAGAGACCTGGGCCCCACGAAAACAGGATGAGAACGCTATTTGGGTCTCTCAAAGAGGAATTGAAAGAGCTATGCTTGGAGTATCACGCTTTATTCAAATGAGAGAAAGAATCCGGAGTTCCGACCTCCTTTGACGATCAAGAATCAGGGACGCTGTCTCATTTGCCAAGGTGTCGAAAATCAGATGTGCTGGACACGTAATGAGATTTGGAGACAACCGCTGGACTAGAGCCATTACCTACTGGATTCCACGGGATGTCAAAAGATCGCGTGGCTGCCCACCTACGAGATGGTCAGACTTCTTCATCAAGACCCTGAATGAAGGCTGTTCATGTTCATGTTTGTAGAACGAGCAGATGTCATTGGGGTACACTAGCACATAACAGGGATTAATGGAGACGTTACTGGCGCCCACTTGAGCAAATCGATGAGTAACGGGATGTTAAGTGATCAAGTGATATAAGAACTCTTTTCCTATATAAAACAATTATTGGGTTGGAGCGGTAGTACAGCAGGGAGGGTGTTTACCTTGCGTGAGGCCAACCCAGGTTCAACTCCCGGTATTTCAAATGGTCCTCCAAGCACCACCAAGAGTAGTTCCTGAGTGCAGAGCCAGGAGTAACTCCTGAGCATCGCCAGGTGGGACCCAGAAAGAAAAAAAAAATTATTGTCTCCAAAGATGTCCTTAAATATTCTTCCAAAAATAAACTAAGTTATGTTTAAGTACTTTTTCAAGAAGTTCGAGCATGTCCTAATTGTGGATGGTGGGTCTCTAGATATTTTGTTTTCTTATTCTCTGTAATTTTCAGTAACTTATCATTTCAAAAAATTAGTAATAAGAGGTCTGAGTGATAAACACTGGAGCCCATCCAGGGGTCCTGATGGTTCTGTGCACGTCTTTGCAGAAGCTCTGGATGACCACCCGACCTGCTTCCCACACAGGGGACCAGGTAGCTCCTTACAAAGGCTGACGGAGTTCCAGATGAATGTCAGAGTGTGCCTGTGAATCTCTGTGTCTGAGATGTTCCATCTTGTTCTTCCTGCTTAGGTAGCAGATGGGGCCAATGCAGTTGTACTGGGAACACTGGGAGACATTTCCCCGCCCCTTGCAATTATTGGTGGAAATTGCGCCCTGCAGGGCTTTGATGCTGAAGGAAATGATCTATTTTGGACGGTAAGAAGAGCAAGCCACTCTTGGTTACTTTTACATTTATTTTTTTACATTTGTTTATTTTGTGGTGCTTGGGTGAGGCACATGTATGAGCCATGTCCCCATCCCCACATGTTTTGACTTTTAATGTTAAATTATTTGTTTGCCTGCTTTTAACCATGATATAGAGTAATAAAAGCAAAATAGAGCACAGTAATTTTGCATATTATATATAAAGGATCTGATGGATCTGAATAATGCCCATTGGTAATTTGTAGAACCTTCTTGTTTAAGTGGATGATATATTTGGATTAAAAGGATGGCATATTAATGACTTTTGGTTTTATCTTCAGGTTACCGGCGATAATGTACATTCCTTGGCCTTGTGTGACTTTGACGGTGATGGGAAGAAAGAGGTCTGTGGGGGAGGAGAAACAGCGTTTAGCTGAATAAGTTTTCCCATGACAGTGACTTCAGTGTTCAAAGTGTGGCACTTTGTTAGCTTTCATGGTTGATTTTGGTACTCTCTTGCTAAAAGATGAACTAATTAGCCTCATTTTCCTCTTTTTTTTTTCCCCCTTTTTGGTTTCTGTGCCCCACCTGGTCATGCTCAGGGCTTTCTCCTGGCTCTGCACTCAGGAATTACTCCTGTTGGTGCTTGGGGGATCAAATGGGATGCTGGGGATTGAATCCAGGTCTCCTGTGTGCAAGGCCAATGCCCTCCCCACTCTACTATCGCTTTTTTTTTCTTCCTTTTTACATAAAAATTGACTTGTGTTTGTCTAATGTTGATGTCAAGAACATGATATTTTAAAGACAGGATGAGGAGAGAGGGCAGTGCAGTTGAGGGATGGGGCTACCGTTAATTCCTGATCTTGAAACTTCTTGCTTCTGATGCTTTGAAACCATCGCATTAAGTAGTTTTCAGTTTGGACCACTTTTTTTCTGGAATCTGAAAGTTTTAAAGATTGATGCTAACCTTTCAAAATCTTTTGAACTGCATTTGTATCTGCAGGGAACATCTTTAGTGATAGAATCCAGGCTGGTAGGAATGTGGCCCTCAGGGAAGAATGAAGTCTGTGGGGGCCCCATTTCTCACTGAGTCTGTTGACAAGAGGGAACCTCCCCAAGCATTTGATTTTTGGGGAATTAGAACTCTGCTGTGGCAGTAGCAACATAGAACATATTATGCCTTTTTTTTATTTTTATTTTTTATTTTTTTTTGCTTTTTGGGTCACAGCTGGCGATGCACAGGGGTTACTCCGGCTCTGCACTCAGGAGTTACTCCTGGTGGTGCTCAGGAGACCATATGGGATGCTGGGAATTGAACCCGGGTCGGCCGCGTGCAAGGCAAATGCCCTACCTGCTGTGCTATCTCTCCAGCCCCTTGTTTGTTATTTTTGGGTTATACCCATCAGTGCTCAAGGCTTTCTCCTGGCTCTGTGCTAAAGGGTGTGTGTGTGTGTTTGTGTGTGTATGTGTGTGTGTGTGTGTGTGTAAATTATGCTGCGTTCACTTACTGAATTAAATATGCCTGATTTCCCCTATTCAGCTTCTTGTTGGATCTGAGGATTTTGACATCCGAGTTTTTAAAGAAGATGAACTTGTAGCAGAAATGTCAGAAACAGAGGTAAGAAGTGGCACCTCAGAATTCTGGTGATCTGGAACGAGATCAGCACAGACACTCAACACAAGATGAGTGATGGGACATCTGAGAGCCAGAGAGTTTTAGATGGAAATGGGGATAAACCACAGAGAAAGCATTTTGCTTTGTTTTATTTTGGTTTTGGGCCACACCCAGCTATGCTCAGGGATTCCTCCAGGGTCTGCATTTAGCAGTTACTCCTAGTGGTGCTCAGGGGACTGTGTGGGATTGAACCTAGGTTGGTTGTGTGCAAGGCAAATGCCCTACCCACTGTACTATTGCTTTGGTCCCGAAAGAAGCATTTTAAATTTCTGTGTTTTGAAATGACTGATGAAATAAAGAAGAATTGAGGGTAGTCAAGCACATGATTTTAATGAGTTATTACTTATTACTACTACTCTTTATTATTACTGGTGGCAACTATTTATCATGCAGATATTATATGCCCGCCACAGTTCTAAGGAAGTGCTATACTGATTTAGCTGATTTAACCCTTACAGCGACTTAAACCTGTTAGTATCATTTTATTTTAACTGTACAGATGAGGAAACTGATGTTTTTTGTTGTTGTTTTTGTTACTTGCACAAGGTTGGCCAGGCTTTGAATTTGTGTCTTTATCTTCACTATTTTTATGTATATGTGTGTGTATATATAGACATAAGTTTACATGTATATTTATTGTTGTAGTTGTATGTTTTGTTTTGGGGCCACACCTGATTGTGCTCAGGGCTCACTCCTGACTCTGCACTCAGGGATCACTCCTGGCAGGCCTCTGGGGACCATAAGGGATGCCCGGGATCTAACGTGGGTCATCTGAGTGCAAGGCCTATGCACTCTCTGACCTGTATCTACTTTAAGTTGCACTAGTGATGTGCCTAAGTGAAGTTCTGTTTTGTTTTGAGACCATGCCCTGTGTTGCTTTGGGTTGTGCCAGGAAGTGACCCTGTGATCCCTGGACCAAATCCAGTTCTCCTGCATACAAAGTATATACTCTGGCCCTTTGAGCTATCTCCCCAGCCCCCATAAATGATTTTATTTTTGGTTTTAGGGCCACTCCTGGTGGTTCTCAGGAGTTACTTTTGGTGCTAGGAGAGGGCCATGTAGTACGGAGTATTGAGCCCAGGCCTCCGGCAGGCAACTTAAATAAAATTAAGTCTCTTAATTCAAATTGATTACTCTCAAGGTACATTTCTCTATGTAATATTAACAGCTAGGTGTTAAAGAAATGCTTAGTTTTCTTTGCACTTAGATTGTTCATGCAGTTACTCATGTAACTCACCTAAGATATTCCTTACAGAGTTTAAAGTTCCGTGTGTAATATGCAAAGATCGCTTTATTCTGGGTAGTTCTGACATTTTTAGGATTTTTGATGATGATTTTCTAGGATTAGTCTAAGAAGAACAAACAAAAGAATTAGGATATTTTGAATTAAGGAAGAAGAGAATAAAGAAACTGCTGAACAGTGTAAATGGACAGAAAAGCAAAGATCAGGTGTTTCAGATCAGATGATAAATTCTGCAAAATTCAGTCAGTTAGTATTTGGATGGCCATATCAGAAAAGTTTTATTTTTCCCCAGTTTTGATTATACTTGTTTCCAAAATTTCTTTTCTTTTTAATTGAATCACAGTGAGATGCACAGTTCAAGGTTGTTCATGATTGGGTTTTAGTTATATAATGTTTCAACATCTGTCTCTTCACCAGTGTACATTTCCCACCACTGATGTCCCCAGTTTCCCTCCTGCCCCCCCACTTCCCTCCCCCACATTTCTCTCTCTCTCTCTCTCTCTCTCTTTCTCTCCCTTTTGATTTGTAATACAGATACTGAAAGGTTATCATGTATTACTTTACTATCTTTACTACTTTCAACACTCAGTTTCTGTCCAAAATGATCATTTCCAACTATTATTGTCATAGTGATCCCTTCTCTTATGTAACTGCCCTTCGTCTCATCCCCTCTTCCCTGACCCCCCACACTGGCCAGTGATTGGAAGTGGCAAGCTTCCAACCATTGGCCAGTGCTCCTGGGCCCTGTTTTCCATATCAGAAGACTTGAGGGCACTGGCTTCCAGAGTCACCCAACTATTGTCCTTCTTATCATCCACAAAAGCTATATAGGAAACTCAGACTTCTGTTCCCCTGACACAAAAAGAGACCAAAACACAAACTTTGCATATTAATATACAAAGTCTTAACAACACTCAAGATTAATTTACCTTTACAGCAAGAGTCACAAAGTTTACACTGCACTGCTACGCTTTCTAATGGTCGTTAGTCGTTACATATTCTTCATATAAAATTGTTGTGGACAAAGGCGAGTGAGGGATGAGGTGTGTGCAGCAGTGTTGAAGTGTTGGTTTATGCAGAGCCTTCTGTTTCATGTGTATTACAGAGCAGGTCTGAGCGTGGACTAGACTGTGAAGGGCTTGACTGAGCCAGACCAGTGAATTATGGCAGGACTGAGGGACCAGGGAATCTGGGGCTAAGTTTATGCAGATGTTGCTTTACAACCTTATTCATTTCATGGCCAATTTCCTGTCCTCTAGTTTGACCTGGGTTCCAGCTCAACCGTCTATTCCCAGATCTCTAAAAGCATAATTTATTTGGCAGCTGAACAGTGCTCTGTGGTGCTGAAAGAATGCCTTGAGCTAAGTAATTCTAAATCCTACACAGTACTTTGTATTCCATGTTAAGTGGAGTGGGTGGTTTTGTAGAAAAGATGTGAGTGTCAAGGAAATTATGTAACGATTCTCTGCTTTATACAGTTTATTTCTTAATATCTCTTGCATTAGACTCAGAATTAGAAAGCAAATCTGCGAGACCATAGATATTCTTCAGTTTCGGTTTGTAACTTTGTGTAATATATGTATTCTGTATATTATATACATATATAACCCATGTGTTTGGATTTTTACTTTTCAAAGGATTATGTTTTCTTCTCAAAAATATCTTCGGGCCGGAGCGATAGTACAGCGGGTAGAGTGTTTTCCTTGCATGCTGCCAACCTGGGTTTGATTCCCGGCACCCTGTATGGTCCCCTGAAAACCACCAGGAGTAATTCCTGAGTGCAGAGCCAGGCGTGACCCCTGAGCACTGCTGTGCGTGACCCCAAAAGCTAAAAAAAATTTTTTTTATATTTTTCATCTCTTGCCCAGTGTGATAGTACAGTGGGTAGGGAACTTCCCTTATACACAGCTGACCTGGGTTCAATCCCTTGCAACCCATATGGTCCCCAAGCACTGCCAAGAGTAATCCCTGAAAGCAGAGCCAGGAGTATACCCTGAGCACAGGTAGGTGTGTCCCAAAAATCTCTCTCTCTCTCTGTGTGTGTGTATATATATATATATATATTTCATCTCTCTCGAGTAGATAAATTATGTCAGAGAAAAGTATGCACATAAGATTCTCCATTGTGTACTGTCAGTCTTTTTAAGATTTTGATTGTGGGATGTTATAAATTAAGAAAGTGAAATAATCTTTAAAATATTTTGAGTTGGTGTCTATAGCATCTTTATACATATTCTAGGACCTGCGAGATAGTAGAGGAGTTAAGGCACTGGCCTTGCATCTGACTCTGATTCAGTTTTTTGTGTCACGTGGTCCGCTGAGCACTTCTGGGAGCCATGAGCACAGAACCAGTGGTTTCTGCCAACTACCTCTGGTGTGATCTCCCCAAAAACCAAACCAAACTAAACCTGTGTACCTAGTCTCAGTTTTACGTATGCAGCTTGATTCTCTCCTGTCTTCTGAGGGTCAGTGCCTGCCGCAGTAGCGCAGGGGGCCACCAAGGCTGCCCCTGGAGGCCTAGCCCCAGCCCTGTGCAAGCTACCCCACACGCCCCGGCTCTTTGCGCTGCCTCCTTAGTCCTTTAGTTTCCTCCTTATTCCCTCAGACTGTTTTGTACTCTTGGCTCTGTGCTCAGGAATCACTCCTGGCACTCCTTGGGGGACTGTATGTGGTATATGTGCATATGTGGGGCCAGGTATCAAACCTGGTTCAGCACATGCAAGGCAAGCACCTGGCCTGCTGTACAGTCTCTTTGACTCCACTGTGTTCTTTCAGAATAATTTTCTGGGACTTGTTACATAAACTCGAGTAAAAGTGGCTAGCTTGTGAGTTCAGTTCTGATTACCTCGGGCCAGAGAGATCGTGTGGAGGTAGGGTGTTTGCCTGGCAGGCAGCAGAACTCAGAGTCAATCCCCAGCACCTCATATGACTCCCCTGCAAACGCCAGGAGTGATTCCTAAGCACAGATCCGAGAGTGACCCTTGAACACTGACTGGTATGACCCCAAAGCAAAATTCTGATAACCCAACACTGAACTAAATGAATCTCAGGGAAGAGTGTATTCCCTGCTAATGGATGGGAAATGCATTTAAATCTAATTAAATTATATTTGAGCTTTGGGGCCATACCTGGCAGTGTTGGGGGTTACTCTCAGTGGTGCCCAGGGGACAGTGAAGTGCTGGAATCATACCCGAGGCCTCCAATATTCAAAACCTGTACTTAGGGGCTGGAGCTTGCCCTGCATGCAGCCAACCCAGCTTCTATCCCTGGCATCCCATATGGTCTTCTGAGCACCACCAGGAGTAATTCCTGAGTGCAGAGCCAGGAGTAGCCCTGAGCACCACCAGATGTGATCCAAAAATGCAAAACAGAGACCAAAAACCTTGCACTCAGCACATTGTACTATCTGGCCCCTTAAATCTAATTGTAACACACTTCTAGTAAGGCATGTAGTTGAGCACTAATGAGAAATATTTTTTTTTTACTTTTTTTTTTTTTTGCAGATAATCACCACTCTTTGCCCCATGTATGGCAGTCGATTTGCTTATGCCCTTTCCAATGGCACAGTTGGAGTTTATGACAAAGCAGCCCGATACTGGAGAATTAAAGTTAGTATAAGTCATTCTCTGATATTCGGGATATTCGGGGATTTCACTCTTACTGGAGACCTCTGTATTAATTGTTGGAATTCATTTCCAGTCCAAAAATCATGCTGTGAGCATTCATGCCTTTGACCTTGATTCTGATGGTGTATGTGAACTGATAACGGGTTGGTCCAACGGGAAGGTGAGTTAAAAGTGCAGATTTTTATGTGTAATTCAAATTAGTAAATGTCTGGGATATATCAGTATTATGATTCAGAATAGTAACATGATGATGTGAATTTCTTGTACTGTGTGTTCAGATTTAACTTCATGACCTTGTCACGTGGTCTTGCTGTAGTTGTCAACACCACAGCCTGAGTGTCTTGGTCTTATAAGCTGAGTTTAGGAGAACATTTCCAGGAAGAGACTTTATGAAGTCTCTCCCTTACAGGCATGAGAATCCATTCAGTAGGGCTGAGCCTAGGGAGGGGCTATTAAAAATAGAGATTTGGGGCCAGGATGAGCCTGTCTCAGGGAGAGAGCAAGTACATACCTCACATGTGTGAGGCCTTGGGTTTAAATTCCAGGCACTGCAAAAAGGAAAGGGATGGTGGTGGAATAAAAGCTAATAATGAATGGTGGATATCACTTTTCCCCTAATCTTCAAAGCAGACGGAAAACTAGAATCATGGGCACAACGAGGTTATTCAGCTCTAACTTCAAAATAAAACTTTTTACTTTCTTTCCTTTTTAAGTTCAAATAAAAAAATTTTTTTTCCTCACAAGTCAGGATTGTGTTCTTAGAAACGGTCTCCTTGGAGACAGTTTTCCGTCTGTCTTGTCTGTCGGTGCTAGACTGCCGGATGGTGATAAACTGATTCCTGTCTTTCCTTTCCAGTTTTCTTTGCTTTGTGGCCATTGCCTTGTAATTTTCCTAGAACTCTTGAGCTAGAATTCAAGTACAGGAGTAAAGCCACTTGCCTTGCATGTGGCCAACCCCAGCTCAGTCCCTAGGACATATATCAGCCCCTAGCATTGCCAGGAGTGACCGTTGAGCACAGAGCCAGGAGTAGCTCTTAAGTACAGTCTAGTGTGACCCCAAACCAAATCAATAAATTGAAATGAATTAAAAATTAAATTAAAAATGTAGCTCTAAGGGCCGGAATGATAGTACAGCTGGGAGCGTGTTAGTATTGCACATAGCCAACTCAGTTTGCTCCCCGATATCCCATATGGTCCCCTAAGCACTGCCAGAAATAATTTCTGAGCATCACCTGGTGTGACAACACCCCCCACTTCCCTCCAAATGTAGTTCCTTAAAGCAGACAAATGAAAACTGAGGCCAAGGCCATATACAGCAGGTAGCGTGCTGCCTTGCATGCGGCCGACTGGGTTTAATCCCCTGGACCCCTTCTGGTTCCCCAAGCCTGCCAGGAGTGATCCCTGAGCACAGAGCGAGGTGTAAGTGCTGAGCATCTCTGGGTGTGTCCCCCAAACAAACCAAAACAAAACACACTCTTAGGTTCATTCCACCTTCTCAGAACTTGGTCCTCTCTCTGGTATAGGTATTAAATTTTTTAATAGAACTGTAGTTATTAAGAACTAGGAAGGGCATAAAAATCCACCATTTTCTGGTAGAATATACATTTTTTTATTATGATTGATTTGATAATTAGAAACTTCCACACTTGGGAAATAGTTAAATTTTGGGAACTAGTCAAATATGACGACCTGTGTTTTCAAAATTTGGGGTAAATCTGTTACATAATTAACAGCATAAAAAAGCTAAGAAAATCTGATATCTATTTTTAGAGATAACTTTTTCCTTAGAAAGGGAAAGTATACTGATCCAACTTGTGTATGGAGGTGCTAAAATGTGACATGCTGCACACTTTAGTTTTTGGTCAGCTGTTGGGGCCCGTCCTTCCCTCCAGAGCAAGGCGTGCATGTCGGTTAGTGCTCAGGAGCAGCTTGCCACAGAAGTGGCCATTTGTTGCCCAGTTTTTTTGGGTAGCAAGTAAACCCTCTTGTTTGCTAAATACTGTGGAAATGCATTGCTGTTATTGTAAAGAGCATGGTGAGGTCAATCTGAGTTTATGGTAATATGATTTAAAACTGGTAAATATAGGCTATTCGTTGTTTCACAGGATTTCGTGTTGATAGTTTTTAGGCTTACAATGATGTCATAACTCATGGCATTGATCCCTGAATGTGGTATACTCCAGATAAAAGGGCACTAGGCTATGATATAAGTTCCCTTTTTCTGAGGGGGGAGGTGTTTTGAGGTCAGGCCAGCAGTGGTCAGCGACTATTCCTGACTCTTTGCTCAGGGGTCACCCCTGGCTGTGCTCAGAGGATCATATGGGGGGCTGGGGATTGAAGCAGGGTCTGCCACATGCAGAGGAAGTACCTTACCTCCCTGTACTACCTCTCTGGCCCTTATGTTGTTGTTATTTGTTATTTTGGCTTTTGAACCACCCCCAGTAATGCTTAGGGGTTACTCCTGGCTCTTCACACAGGAATCTCTCCTGGTGGGCTCTGGGCACTTATGGGATGCCAGGATTCAAACCCCTATGTTGTCTGCTGCATGCAAGGCAAATGCCCTGCCTGCTGAACTATCTCTCCAGCACTCCCCCCCCTTTTTTATTTTATTGCAAAATCTTGTCTAGAGGGATGTTTGTAAGACAAAAACAGTCATGCATTGGTCACTGAAATGATTATTTTGCCAGACTGTCTGCATCTACCCATCTGTTGATAACATATTCTGGCCTAGAGTAAAAACATCATTTTTTGTGGTTATCCTTCATTGTTGGTTTTGAAATACATTTGTGATCAGTTTGCCTTTTGGAAAGAAATAATTTTTTTGGAAGCAAACTTTTTTCTTTTTTCCTTTTTGGGTCACACCCGGCGATGCACAGGGGATACTCCTGGCTCTGCACTCAGGAATCACTCCTGCCAGTGCTCAGGGGACCATATGGGATGCTGGGAATCGAACCCGGGTCGGCCGCGTGCAAGGCAGATGCCCTACCCACTGTGCTATTGCTCCAGCCCCGGAAGCAAAATATTTTTTATTGAAAGGAATTTACTTTGAAAGATTCATGGGAAAGAAAAAAGATTCATGAGGGACCAGAGAGATAGTGTAGTGGATAAGGTGCTTGCCTTGTATGTGGCAGATCTGGGTTTGATCTTAGGCATCCCAAATGGCCCCCTGATCCTACCAGGACTAATTCCTGAGTGGAGAGCCAGGAGTAAGCCCTGAGCACCATCTATGTGACCCCTAAACAAAAACAATAGCAGACGATTCATGAGGAAAACAAAGGAATATTCTTCTCTTTAAGAGAGAAGATGGGCTTCTCTAGAGCGAAAAAAGCAGGGAAAAGAGAGAAACGTGTTCAGGCAAGAACATGGACTTGAAAAGCAAGCCAAGAAAGAATTTTTAAATCAAAAATGTTATTGAGGTATTTTGATTTACAGTAGCATTAATGTTCGTGCTCTAGGCTTAAGTTTCTGCTGCCCCACATCCACCGCCAGAGTGTCACGTTCCTCTACTGCTGTCCCTTAGTCTAGAAGATGGATTCTTCAATAGGAGCTTTTAAACTGCAAGAAAACACAATTTTGGCACCACAACAATCGTACAGCGGGTAGGGCACTTGACTTGCACATGGCCGATCTGAGTTCAATTCCCAGCATCCCATATAGTGCCCTGAGCACCGTCAGGAATAATTCCTGAGTGCAGAGTCAGGAGTAAGCCCTGAGCATGCTGGGTGTGGCCTAAAAAGCCGGGGTTGGGAGGTGGGGAGTGAGGGGGGGAAAAAACACAAGTTAAAAATGAGTAGAAGAGGTCTGGAGAATAGTACAGCGATCAGGTGTATGCCTTGTTATGGAACTGACCCTGGTTGCATCCCTGGCACCCTGTGATCCTGTAGATCCCACCATGTGTGACCCTGGTGTGCCTGAACACCACTGGGGTGGCCTGGGGCATCCCTGAGTGGGACCACATTTTCAGATACTTGCACTGAACTTTCGGTCACCACTTGGGAGGTCCCTCAGGCCCCCCAAAACGGAGAAGATCTGAGCACATGAGCACTTCAAATGGTAATTGATGTCTTTCGCTAGGAAAATGCAAATCAGAACTATAATCATAGCCTACTTTACACCTAACAGAATGGCCAAAATACCGGGCCATACCAAATGCTGGTGGGGAAGAGGCAGATAGTAGGAATGCCTGGGAAAGAATTGGACATTTCTTTCGGGTGAGGGAGGGCACCCCAAGTTGGTTGTGCACAGGGCTTACACAGGGGTTGTTCCTAACAGACTCGGGGGACCATATGGAGGGATGCCAGGGATCAAAGGCAGGTTGGCCATGTGCAAGGCAAGTGCCTAACCCGCTGTACTGCCTCTCCATCTCCCAAAACTGGCTTTTTCTTAGAAGTTAAACAGATGCCCACATTATGACTAGCAGTTCCACTCATGAGAAATGAAAAACTTAGTTCACAGTGAAGCGTCAGTAAATGATTACAGTAGTTTTTACTCATAATCACTAGAAAGTTAGGTGTAAACTAGTATCACCACCAAAAAAAAAAATGTGCTCGAGACCCCAATACATAGCAGAGCTGGAATCTTAATGCAGGTTGTTTGGATTTTTGCACTTTGCAGTATATAGTACACGTCTGGCCTCTCAAGTCAAGTGCTTCTCTGAATGTTAAGTGATGATCAATAAAACATCTTTTGTTTGAGGCTGGACACATAGTAGGGTGAGTAGGTTGTTTGCCTTGCATGTGGTCAACTCAGGTTCCATCCCTGGCATCCCATAGGGTCCATAGAGTGCTGTCAGGAGTGATGCCTAGTGCAGAGCCAGGAGTTACCCCTGAGCATCGCCCAGTGTGGCCCAGAGGTAAACAAAACAAAAACGCCATTTTTTAAATTATTATTATTTTTAAATAGGACAGGGGTTTGGGTCCCACTGGGCAGTGCTCAGGGCTGACCCCTGGCTCTGCACAGGGAACACTTCTCGCGGGGCTGGGGAGACCAGATGCAGTGCCGGGGATCATACTGGCATGCAAGCCCAGCACCCTAACTCTTTTACTATCTCTCTGGCTCCCTTGTTTTATTATTTTTTTTTAAGAAGATAACAAGGGAGCAGGAATGTGATGTGCCTTTTATGCATGAGACCTGGGTTTTATTCTCCATGCTGTGAAGTGCAGGGAAGCAACATGACTGTCAGGAAAGAGACCTTTACTGTCCTTTTAGCCCTAGTGCTCATTCGAGCCCATCGGCGCCTCCTGAGAAGCCAGGGGGCTCCATGAAATGATGCTGAAAAATGCTCAACGAAAACACCTTTAAGATGAACTCCATTACATTCTGTGTTGCTTGGGGAAAAAAAAAAAAACTCGCATGAGCGGATTTCCAAGTTTCTTTATTTTCTCTTTAAACTCGCTTTATCTCTGCTTATTTTCAGGTTGACGCTCGGAGTGATCGAACCGGGGAGGTCATCTTCAAAGACAATTTCTCTTCTGCAATTGCTGGTGTGGTCGAGGGAGATTACCTCATGGAAGGCCACCCTCAGCTGATCTGCTGCGCAGTGGATGGGGAAAGTAAATCAGGATGAGGAAATCTTTGGAAAGTCAGATTTGCGGTTTGATTGATTGGGTCAGAATGCTAAGAAATTCCACACTAGAGTGTGTTGATATTCTCTCATCCGAGCAAATCCACCCAGGGTCAGGGAGATAGAAACTTAGGGTTTGGGTTCTTTTAAAGGACAGGCACTTACTAACTTAACCCTTGACGGGTTCAAGGTGTCTTTTTTGGTGGGGCATGGGGGTGGGGGTCAGTCTGGTGAGTCAAATGTTTTTCCTTCTGTTCAGTTCGTGGCTACCTGCCAGGAAAGGCTGAAATGGGAGGGAGCCTCATGGACGCCAGCGCCGAGCAGGATCTGATCCGAGAGCTCAGTCAGAAGAAGCAGAACCTGCTGTTGGAACTCCGTAACTATGAGGAAAATGCCAAGGTAGGTCCTGATGAGAAGGGGGAAGTGGGGTGTGAGGAGCCGGACCTGGCTGGGAGGGTTGGCAGGTGGGGGGAGGAATGACACCTGGCTGTCTGCCAGCTGCAGCCCGACGCCCTCCTTCCTTCCCCCTGAAAATGTGAGCGGGTTGGCCTCTTTCCCAGAAATCCCACTTGCAGGCAACTCAGCTACAAGAATATTTTCATCAGTGTCCACTGATGTATTCACACCCCCGAACCCCACCCTCCCCGCCCCCCCCCCCCCCCCACACACACACACAGTGCCAAGACTAAAACCCACGTCTTATACATATAAGGCATACCACATTTTCTGGTCACTTGTTAACCTCCTTTTTAGAAGAAGTATGTGCTGAGAAATCTTTGTGTGTGTGTGTGTGTGTGTATGGGGTGGGGGGTGGGACTTTTTGGGTCACGCCCGGTCATGCTCAGGGGTTAATCCTGGCTCTGCACTCAGGAATTACTCCTGGCAGTGCTGTAGGACCATATGGGATGCTGGGGATTGAACCTGGATCTGCCGCATGGAAGGCAAATGCCCTTCCCACCATCCTATCACTCCAGCTCTGTGCTAAGAAATCTTAAAGCAGCTAAAAAGGAACGACATACTTCATCTGACTTGCGAGGATGACCCCGGCGTCTTGTAAAATAGGAAACAAGCACCAGATAATATGTATTTTTTATCTTTTCAAAGACAAGGCAAAAACTGATGACTGCAAAAGTCACATGTGTATGTTATGTATAATTGGGAAGTAGGACTTTTTTTTTTCAATCTTCTCTGGCAGAATAATTGTATTTTATAATTTTCAAAGAACAGTGCAAAAAAATGTGAAAAGGGTGCCATGATAGGCACGTTTGAGCTGCAGCTACACAAAGGGCCAAGGGTGTTTTTCTCTTGGGGTGAGACCCTAGAAAGACTGGGAACACTCATGGGACAAGGTCCACGAACTCCAGCACGAGATAGTAGCATAAGCTGTTGGAATGTGTGTTTTTGGAGGCCATTTAGCTGCATTATTTAAGGTTGACACCCGCTGCGTTATTGAGCAAGTCACAAGGCGACGGGGTGTTTTGCAGGTTGATTTGAATAGTCCGCTGAGTGAGGCTGAAGAGCACCGGGGCATAATCCCCGCCAACACCAGGCTCCACACGTCCCTGTCCGTCAGCCTGGGCAGTGAGACTCAGGCCGCTCACGTCGAGCTCCGTGTCTCCACATCCAATGGTAAGCAGGTTGTTGGAAGCCTGTGTTTTGTGGATGCCTGTGCCACCTTTTCAAGAGGAGTTCTTGAAATGCTGCTTTCTCTCCTCGACAGACACCATCATCCGAGCAGTATTGATTTTTGCAGAAGGAATTTTTGCAGGTGAGAGTCACGTGGTCCACCCCAGCACTCACAATCTTTCCAACTCCATCCACATCCCGGTCACTCCGCCCAAAGATGTCTCTGTGGATCTGCACTTGAAACTCTTCGTGGGCTACCGGAGCAGGTGAGCCTTTTGCGGACTGCAGTTCCTCTCCAGATACTACTCAGAGGACGGCCGAATGTATAGATACTCCATTTTGCCACGGGTTTTGTGGGGGAGAAACCAATTAATGGTTCTATCCATCCATACAAGTCATCTGTGGCTGAAAAATAATTTGAGACCTTTCAGAAAAGCAAAGGGCATGTAAACTTAATATGATCATTTACAGTCATACCCGCAAATTGCCTCTGGTACCATATAAGCTCATTTATGGCCAGGATTCGGAGACCTTCAAATAAATCTCCAAAGAGATGATCAAAGAAGTTTCCTTAGAGGAAAGTATGTGAAGGTTGTTGTAACTCACCCTGGAGACATAAAGTCCTTGTATAAGAGACTGCTAACATATTGTTACATAATAAGCTGCAGAGATGTCTCCTGACCCAAAAGTCACCATCCAGTTAAAAATTTAACTCCAGGGGGCTGGAGCAATAGCACAGCGGGTAGGGCATTTGCCTTGCACGCAGCCAACATGGCCGACACAGGTTCGATTCCCAGCATCCCATATGGTCCCCTGAGCACCACCAGGAGCAATTCCTGAGTGCATGAGCCAGGAGTAACCCCTGAGCATCACCAGGTGTGACTCAAAAAGCAAAAAAAAAAAAAAAAAAATTTACTCCAGCTCTGTCACCCTATTTAAAATTTTATAATTCCTGGAGTGACATCTTCTTATCTCCTTTTCCACTGATGTACAGTGAGTAGCACACCATATTTGATGGACTGTAAAGTAGGAGAAGGCAACCCATCTCATCCCGATCAAAAAAAAAAAAAAAGAGCACACAAAGACTCAACCTGTAACAATATGTTAGTAGTCTCTTATACAAGGACTTTATGGCTCCAGGGTGAGTTATAACAACCTTTACACACTTTGCTCTAAGTAAACTTTTTGGATCATCTTTAGCGGATTATTCACAACAAACAATACAAAATAAATTATTTAGGACCTGCTTATGAGGCAGGTTTGGGTGGTGATGGTAAAATTGGGAATAATGGTAGTGGGAATGAGTAATGGTGGTGGGATTGGTGTTGGAATATTGAATGCAATAAATTATTGTGAATAACTTAAAAAAAAACCAAACAGATGGTTTAAAAAAACATGTGTGGGCCAGAGTGATAGTGCAGGGAGTGAGGTGCTTGCCTTGCATGTGTGTACTCCACTCTGATTCCCAGGACTGCTTATGGTTCCCTGAGCACTGTCAGCAGTGACCCCTGAACACAGGACCAGGAGTAATCCCTGGGTGCTGCCAGGTGTGTGCCTCCCACCACAACCCAACAATAAAAATAAATAAAAACCCAGGCTTAATTGGAGGTTTGTCAGCTTGTACTTTCAGTCACTAAGACTATAAGAATGAGGGGCTGGAGAGGTAGCACAGCGGATAGGGCGTTTGCACAGGGGCCAAGGGTGTTTTGTGCATTGCCAGGTGTGACCCAAAAAGCAAAAAAAAAAAAGAAGAACGACTACAAGAATGAGGTGGTATCTTTTTTTTTTTTATTTATTTTTTTACAGTTGTAGATTTACAATTTTTTTTGTGCTTGGGTTTCAATTATACAATGATCAGATACCCATCCCTCCACCAGTGCCCGTTTTTCAAGAGGTGGTATCTTTTTATTAAGCATTGTATATACCTAACCTCACTGATGAAGAAAAAACACTCAGTAGGTGATATAACCTTTTTATATCTTTTTAATTTCTTTACGTCTTTTTGTTTTAAACTCCTAGTGCATGTGTGTGCAAATATGCTCTCATGGGGGCCAGAGAGGTAGTTCAGTGGGTAGGGCACTTGGCTTGGATGCAGCTAACCTGGTTTTCCTCCGTGGCACCACATATGGTCCTGTGAGCCTGCCAAGAGCAATACCTGAGCACAGAAGCAGGAGTAAACCCTGAACACAGCTGGGTGTGTTACTTCTAAGTCCCAAACGCTCTTACTGTAGTACTTGAACTCCTTACATTTTTATATTAGTTTTTGGACTTTGCATATTGAAATAACATTCTACACAACATTTTTCTGTCCCATTGGTTGGCCACAGCACCCAGTTTCACGTCTTTGAATTGACGAGACAGCTCCCCCGATTCTCAATGTACGCGCTCACCAAACCCAACTCTGCCACCGAGCCGCTCAGCTACGTCAACTTCGTCATCGCGGAGCGCGCGCAGAGGGTGAGCCGCTGGCTGTGTCCTTTGAGTATGTTTGCATCTGAGAGTCGTTTGGATGCTGTTTCGTAGAAAAGGGGAAATCAGGGGGGCCTAGGTGGTAGCACAGGATTTAGGGGCTCGTACAAAGATGCTCCTGCAGTTCTCAATCACCTCCAGGTGATCATTGCTGGGCATGACACTCGGAGGGTCCTGGTAGCCTTGTTGATTGAGTACCCCTGGGCCCTCCGGACTTTATTTGGAAGTGAACTCTTCAAAAATAGAAGAAAGAGAGAGAGAAAGGAAGGAATGGCGGGAGGAAAGAAGGAGGGAAAGAGGAAATCACATGACACTGTTATTTGGCATAGTAATTGTGATATGACAGTCATACAGCTTGAGGTTTGCTTATTCCCTGTAATAAAATACTGCTAAAATTGGACTAGAGCAATAGTACAATGGGTAGGGCATATGCCTTGCATGCCGCCAACCTGGGTTTGATCCCCAGCATTGCATATGGGATGCTGAGTGATCTCTGAGTGCAGAGCCAGGAGTAAACTTTGAGCATCACCAACCACTCTCCCCTCCCCCCCACGCACACACCATAAAAACAGACAAGAAAAGGCTGCCAAAATAGCCTCTCACTCTGACTTTGGGGAAAAAAACCAGTTAGTACCTGAGTAATCATTAATTGCAGATGAAAGAGTGGGATTTGTAGTTGGAAATATTTGAGAATTCCAGTGCTACCATTATTCATTCAATTCTTAGCAGTCTTGTAGAAGTCCCCCCAACTTCCTTTTCTACAAGTGAGGCTAGTTTTATACCTTTGGGGGCCCTGAATATTATAGAGAACCTTGTCTAATTTACAGTCGTGGTACTGGTGCATCTTAACCTCGGCCAGACTTCAGAATTCTCAGTAAGGCTTGTTTTGTATTGGGGACCATCTCTGGTGCTGAGGAGCTAGTCCTGATTCAGTGTTTAGCAGCCGCTTCTGACTGTTCTTGGGGGAGCAGACTTAGACAGGGCTAAATCCTGGGCCTCCTTCCTGCAGTGAGCTGTCACGCCGCCAGCCCTCACTGAGGCTTCTAATCATGAGTTTCAGGATCCGTCTCAGCCACCAGAACCGAAAACTCAGTAGTAAGTGGGCCCTTCCAAAAGGCCTCATAGGAATTGTTCTTATGTTCAACCTGTATTACTCTAAAGTGTGATTAACATTAACAGTTATTTGTGTTATTGTGTGGTATGTCTGTGTCTGTGCTGCATGTACGTGTGTTCTTTAGGGAATGCAATGGAATAGTTCTGAGCAGACGATTTTATTTTGGACCTAACTTCTTAAATTGTGGGTTGAAAGTTCATATAAGGTTGCATAACTGAATGTAGAGGGCATATTCCTGATGTATTCCTTTTCAATACATCTATGATATTTGACCAGTCACTGTTTGATTTGTATACCTATTTGACATACCCGGGGCCACATAAAAGTTTCTTGGGTGTAAAGGGGTCATGAGTGGGGAAAAACAGGTTAGACAGTTCCAGTGTGGACCAGAGCCACAGGAGAGCTCTCGTGCCAGCCGGGTCAGTTCAGTATGGCTCTTGTTGATCCTCGGTTGCAGATGAGATGATGGCTCAGATGAGGATGCTGACAGGCCTACATATCGCAGACATAATAGGAGTGTCACTTAGGAACATGTGTGCGTTGGGACAAGGAAGTGAGATGAATTTTTTTTTTTTGTGGGTGGCAAAAAATAATTCCTTTATTTAGTTTACCAAGCAGTAAAACTAAAAAGAAGAAAAACACTTAAGAATAGCGCCGGCCTGGTCCAGAGACTTCCAGTTGAATCCCAAAATGGATTGGTGCCCTACAGAGATATCTCTGGAACCCAACCATTTACAATTTAGAATTCTCATGATATTCATAATGAGCAATGGAAGATTAATTATCTAGCATCTGCCTCTGGCAGGTAGGATTGAATGGTGGTGGAAAAATTCGAGCAAAACATAACGCCCAAAAGTAGAGAGAAAGTATTGGGGAAATTGTCGGTCATAGATAGAGGCAGGGTGAGGACTGGGATGTGGGTGGTGGAAAATGTGCACTGGTGGAGGGATGGATGTTCGATCATTATATGGCTGAATCTCAAACATGAAAGCTTTGTAACTCTGTCTCATGGTGATTCAATAAAATAAAAAAAAAAAGTTAAAAAAAAAACAGAGGAAAGGATAGGGCCGGAGGGATAGCAGTGGAGTTCACGTGCCCCCCTTGTACATAGCTGATCCAATTCCATCTGCATGCATGGCATCAGGAGAGACCCAAGCATAGAACCAGGAGTAGACTTTGAGCACCACTGGGTATGGCCCAAATCTGTCATCATCACCTCATCCCCCCCCCAACACACACACACACACACACACACACACACACAAAAGACTCCCAGGGCCAGGGATGTAGCTCAGTGATACAGCACTTGATTTGCATGTGTGAGCACTTGCGTTCAATCCCTTGATGCTGCATGGTCCCCAAGCTCAATCAGGTGTGTTCCAGACACCAGAGACGTCCAGCAAATATCCCAAGAGTGACAGGACTTTGAAACTGGAAGTTCATTTCATCCCGTTTATTTTGAAGGTCGTTATCTGGCTGAAACAGAACTTCCTCCTGCCAGAAGATACTGACATTCAGAATGCTCCCTTCCAAGTGTGTTTCACCTCCCTCCGGAACGGTGGCCAGCTGTATATAAAAATGAAACTGAACGGAGAGGTAATCTCACTGGACGTACATTTCTTGTGCAGCATTCACCAATCAGTACAAGTGGAGACATGGGTAAATTCACGTCTGCTAGAACTGGAGCTCCCTGCCTCCCTCTCTCCATTCCCTTCACTCCTTCCTTGTCTAACTTGGGAAGAGTTGGGACTATAGAAGAAAACATTTGCACTTTTTGTATGATCTTGTTGCTTAATGTGAAAAGTTTGATCTTTTAGTTTGCTACTCGAAGTAAGAGTGTAGCTTTGATTTTTTGGGGGCTAAATTTTACTTTGTTACCACATATATATTTATGCTTACATATATTAAACACATATTTATCTGTGTCACATGTTGGAAAAGTCATTACTGTTTTAGCAAAGTTGGCCATCAGTATCTGAGGATGCAAAACTTGTCTCCTTTTTTCTGGATAGATTACTGTAAATACAGATGATATTGATTTGGCTGGTGATATTATCCAGTCAATGGCATCGTTCTTTGGTATTGAAGAACTTCAGGTCGAAGCAGATTTCCCTGCTTACTTTGAAGAATTAAAAAAGGTTCTGGTCAAGGTAAGAGCACCAAGTGGATGCCTTTGTGACAGCATGGTAATCTAATAATGACTGAAACACTTCATATCAATGCTATAAATGTACATACTTGATAGGTTTTAATGCTTTTTAAAATAAATTCTTAAAATAAAAATTGAACTAGTAATGAATAGTTCAGTTGTTAAAGAATTTCTTCTAGGGGCTGGAGCAATAGCACAGCGGGTAGGGCGTTTGCCTTGCACCCAGCCAACCCGGGTTCGATTCCCAGCATCCCATATGGTCCCCTGAGCACCGCCAGGGGTGATTCCTGAGCGCAGAGCCAGGAGTAACCCCTGTGCATTGCCCGGTGTGACCCAAAAAGCAAAAAAAAAAAAAATTTCTTCTAGCTGGGGGTCAGGGAGATAAATCAAAGGATTTTTGTGTATGCTTTGCATATGGAAGGCCCAGGTTGAGTCTTTTTTTTTCTTTTTTTTCTTTTTTGGGTCACACTCAGTGATGCAGAGGGGTTACTCCTGGCTCTGCACTCAGGAATTACTCCTGGCGGTGCTTGGGGGACCATATGGGATGCTGGGGATTAGAACTCAGGTTGGCTGTGTGTAACGCAAACACCCTACCCCCTGTACTATCCTCAGCCCCTCCAAGTTGAATCTTGCATGACCCCCAAGCACTGCTAGAAGCAAGTCCCCACTCACTCACACCATGCTGGGATAGCCCCACCCTAAAAAAGAAAAAGCGTCTTTTATAAAAATGGGTGATTTAGTTCTTAACTCTAATTTTGTGGGTTTTTTGTTTTGTTTTGTTTTTGTTTTTTTACGGGGGGGGGAAGGAGGCTTTAATGGAAATATTTTTTTTGTTTGGTTTTTGTTTTGGGGATACACCCGGCTGTGCTTAGGACTTGCTCTGAACTCAGGGATCTCTACTGGCAGCTGGGGGACCACATAGGACTGAACCCAGGTGGGCCGTGTGCAAGGCAAGAGCCCTTCCTGGTATACTATCGCTCCAGCACCTAGTGGGAATACTTTAAAAAAATGATAATATTAACATTTTCCTTTTCTAGCCCTTTATTTACTTTTTGATTTTGTGCTTCACAACAACCTGAAGTCAAAAGAAAAAAAAGTAAAAGGAGGAAAGTGATGAGCCCCAAATGATAAATTTCCAGCCCTCAATTCCCAAAATGTTCCTTGTGTTGTTAAGGCCCCTGATGCTGAGGCAGGCATGGAAAGGCTCCAGTGTCTTCCTAAGTGTTGGAGGCAGCACAGATTCATTATTTCATAGAGGAGGAGATGAAATTACAGGAAATCGTTCAGATGGTATAAGTGGATGGGGGTTGGGGGGAGAAAATATTCTCCGTCTATGATAGTAGTATCTTCTTAATATGTCTAGTTTTCAAGAACTTTTTGAGGCCGTTTACTTCCCAAGTGTTCCTGGTCTCCAGGTGGATGAATATCATTCGGTGCATCAGAAGCTAAGTGCGGACATGGCTGATAATTCGAACCTGATCCGAAGTCTGCTGGTTCGAGCCGAGGATGCTCGTCTGATGAGGGACATGTGAGTGTTTACCATGACTAGGACAGGTGCAAAGTTAAGAATGTCAGCAGTGGGGAATTACAGCTCTCGAGTACTGGTTGAGTGTACATTGGTATGGGGACTTTGGAAAATAACTTGGCAGTTTTCAGTCAAGTTGAAAATGTCCCACCAATTCTACTCCTGGTTTATAACCAGTAATATGTGCACATACATTTTTATAAGAATATTGATAAAACCTTTGTTCTTAAGAATCACAGTGTGGAAACACCCCAAACTAGCTTCAGCGTTCTAATGGGTAAGTTAGAATATTCTCACACAATGAGATTCACACCCAGCAGTGAGAACACATGTGTCGCAGTGATACGGAACAGCACGGGCAAATCTTACAAACAAAACGGAGGTCGAAAGAAGACTCCAAATAATAAATACAAAATGCTTCCACTCATAATCTGGAAACGGACAAACTAAGTTATAGCATTTGAAGCATACATAGATGATAAACAGGAAAGGGATGCAGGTTCTCTCCTGGGGAGGAGGGCTATTCAGAAAGAGCGTATTGGGAGACTTCCGGGATGCTGGTACCTTGCGTCTTGATGGCAAGCATTTGTTCTGTGAATTCCTTTGAACGTGAATTGCAGTTTACAATAAACACGTTACAAATACATGTGCATGTTGCTAGCGTCTTGCTTGCTTAGATGTGCAGTTTATCTTGGCATGTATGTGGCACCCAGCTTGTGGGGTGGTCCTGGGGATCAAATCCTTAGCCTCACAACTATCTCACAGTTCACTCCCTTTCACTGCAAATAGCCACACACCCATGTATGACTCAGAGACACACATCCACATCTCCTCATCTAAGTCTTTGCCCCTTTGCTGCATACATTTCCAAAACTGCCTTGGAGCTCATTCCAAAGTAGTACATGGAGATACTCATTTTTGGGGTGGAGAGGGGTCTGGACCATAGCTGATGGTGCCCAGGGCTTACTCCTGGCTCTGAACTCAGGGATCACTCCTGTCAAGCTTGGGGGACCATATGGGGTTTTGGAGGATCACACCTGGGTCAGCCACACACAGGCAAGGCAAGCGTGCCCTCCCTACTGTCGTGTTGCTCTGGCCCCCGTCTTTACATCCCATCTCTCTGGCCCTTGTTTGTGTGCACACTCCTCTGTACTCTGCTCGTTGATTCTGCCAGTCGCCAGCATTCACATTGCTCCTTTGCTCCTATAGATAATGCTGCAGTGGGTCGTTCTGTTAAATCTTTTTGTGTACTTTTAAAAGTATCTTGGGGGGGAAGTCCTAAAATGAGCTTCCTAGGGTAAATGTTAAATGTAGACTGTGGTAAATAATAAACGAACAGAGAATTTTGCAGTTCTTTTTTTTTTTTTTTTTTTGCCAGTGTTCCTTGCAGTGGTGATAAGTTTTCATTCCTGCCAATAATGTATGCGAATGCCCCCTTTCTGTCAGGCTTGTTAATGGAAATTGTGGGCAAACTCTTAGAAAGTTACCAGTTCAGTCAGTGGGGTCAGAAGTTATCTCATTGTGACTTCAAATTTTATTTATTTTTAACAAAAAACACTTTTTGTTAAGGACTGGTTTTATTTTTGTATATAAATTATTTTTCTCCCCATTGCTTATTTTTATTTTAGGGGTAAATATTTTGTTTGTTTTCTTGGGCTCCACCCAGCAGTGTGCAGGGGTTACTCCTGGCTCTGCAGTCAGGAATTACTTCTGGCAGGGCTCAAGGATTCACACGGGGTGCTAGGGATTAAACCAGGGTTGGCCACATGCAAAGCAAGTGCCCTACCCGCTGTACTATCTCTCCAGCCCCCGAAATTTTTATTCTTTAATAACTTTATTAAATTTAATATAAATTGGACAATGGTATGGGATGCATATATCTTTTATAGTTAATAATTCCTAAATTCAAACCCACCCTAGACCAAGAACTAAGAAAGAGTATTCTCTTCCATTTATTTGGAAGAAGTAGAGTATTTTGGTAGCAACTTCCTAGTGTTTTTCAAGGTAAACCTTAAGAGTTACCCAGTTTTAATAACAGTGCAGCCAAAAATGTGGTATCTTACTTGTCTAAGAAATTTGCACATTTTTAAGTCTGTCCTACTGAAGTATATTGTTTAATTTCTCTTGATTCAAACAGGAAAACAATGAAGAATCGCTATATGGAACTCTATGACCTTAATAAAGACTTGCTAAATGGATATAAAATTCGCTGTAACAATCACACTGAACTGTTGGGGAACCTCAAGGCAGTAAATCAAGCAATTCAAAGAGCAGGTCGTCTGCGGGGTAAAGTGATTTTTGTAGCATTGTTAACTAGTCTAATTTTGGGGTGACAACCAGTGGAGGTAGCAAGAATTCCTGTGGGGGCGATAGTAGCATCCTGAGTCACGGCTCAGCTTCAGTCTCCAGACTTCAGAGGGGAAGAAGACGCTGAGCTCAGAGAATTGCTCTCCCTTCCAGAGATAATCTAGCCGAGATAACATAAAATAACTAGAGATAATTTAGCCAAGAAAAGGAAAGCCTTCAATATCCTTCTTTAAAAAGGGAGAGCTGAAAATGAATGTTGCGTTCAACTTAAAATTTAGAAAGGTTATGGTATATAAAGGAAGTAGAAATATAGTTTAAGATTGATACCTGAAATCTGGTGGTTTTTTTTTTTTTTTTTTGGATGTGAAATCCAGCAGTGCTCAGGGATTACTCCTGGCTCTGCACTCAGGAATTACTTACTCCTGGCAGTGCTTGGGAGACCATATGGGATGCTGGGGATTGAACCTGGGTTGGCCGCGTTTAAGGCAAACACCTTACCTATTATACCATTGCTCTGGTCCCTGAAACCTGTTTTTTAGTAAATGTATTGACCTCTTCTTAGAAGGCATTTTTCCCCCTTCCAGTATGAAATATATATATCGGTCACGGTACTCCCGTTGTTCATCGATTTGCTTGAGCGGGCCCAGTAACGTCTCCTTCGTGAGACTTGTTACTGTGTTTGGCATATTAAATACGTCACAGGTAGCTTGCCAGGCTCTGCCATGCGGGTGAGATACTCCAGGTAGCTTGCCGGGCTCTCTGAGAGGGGCAGAGGAATTGAACTCAGGTCGGCCATGTTGGCTGCGTGCAAGGCAAACGCCCTACCCGCTGTGCTATCGGCAGCACATATACTAAAATTGGAACGATACAGAGAAGATTAGAAATATATATATACACTTATATGTATATATATACATATATATGTACACACACACATATATATATGGGGAGAGGGTCTGGCAGTGCTCAGGGCTTGCTTTTCCTCAGGGATCATTTCTGGCAGGACTTGGGAGACTGTTGGGTGCTGGGGATAAATCTGGGTTGATTGTGTGCTTATTACTGCCTCTCCAGTCTCCATTTTTAATTTTTTTAATAAAACTTGACTTTGTTTCTGCTTTGGTTTGTGAAGGAATATTCCTTCAAGAGGCAGTCTTTTTTTAGGGAGTGGTGAGATTAGTTAAATGTGCACACCATTTATTTTCCTACCTTTCACACTTAAAAATTGACCTCAGTTTCATAGAATTTTTAGTTAAGCTTATTTTCTGTTTCTTCTCATACAGTTGGGAAGCCAAAGAACCAAGTGATCAGTGCTTGTCGTGATGCCATTCGCAGCAATAACATCAACACACTCTTCAGAATTATGCGAGTGGGGACAGCGTCTTCATAGGACAGACAAGTCTAGGTAGTGAAGTTTCTAGAAAATGTTTTTAAATTCAGAGCTGATCTGCTTTGGATGACATGCCGCTTGAAGCCAGGGATGGAAATGGAAAATGAAAACAACGTTGGTGAGTTGAAGGAGTGGAAGACAGAGCAGTGCATGGGAAAGTGTATTCACTTGTTATTGTAAATCAGTACTAGCTTTCTTTTTCTTGAAAAAGAAAGCAATTTTAAACACTAGAGCCTCAAAGTTGTTTTTCTGTATGTATGTAAAGTTGGTGTATAGTACATCTTTTTTTCCTTGGAATTGTAATTAAAAGATTTTTTTCATTAGCATTTAAAAATGTTGCACTTTGTATTAACTGATTGTAATATATATATAACCCTACCAAAACTGAGTAAATCATTGATAGTATGTGAAGAAAAACAAAAATGGGTCTTTAATGTGGGTGCTTTTTTTTTAATCACTGAGAGGGGGTGTAAACAACTCATTTGTTAAGGGAGAATGAATATATGGTAATGTATTAGTTGGAGTAGCATTAGTACTGAAATCAGTGGGCCTCAGACTTTGGAATTCATTTATTTTTTGCCAGAATTTAATTTATGGTTACTCAGGGAATCGTTTTTTTTTTTCCTTTTTCTTTTTGGGTCACACCCGGCGATGCACAGGGGTTACTCCTGGCTTTGTACTCAAGAATCCTGGCTGTGCTCAGGGGACCATGTGGGATGCTGGGAATCGAACCCGGGTTGGCCTTGTGCAAGGGAAACACCCTACCTGCTGTACTATTGCTCCAGCCCCAGGGAATTGTATTCTTTTGACCTTGTAGCTGTATCATCCTCAAGGGCAACATTCTCACCTTGACTTCTTTAGAGAAATAAGCTTCCTAAAAATAATTTCAGTGGGCTGGAGAGGTAGCTCAGTGGGCTGAGAGCATTCTTTGCATGCAGGAGGCACACGTTCCATTCCAGGCGTTGCATGGTACCGGAGCTCTGTAGGATCAAACCAGGCCTAGAATAGCCCCTGAGCATTACCTGATATAGTAACAAAACAAAACATCTCTCCTTTCCCCCTCCCCAAAAGATTTCAGTGTCTGTTTTTCAATTCACTGCATATAATGAATACTTTAGAGCATTAGGGCTTAATTCCCTCACTTGGAACCTATTAAGAGTTATCCTGGCTGAGACTTAGTTATTTATAATCCATGCCAGTGGGAAAGCAGCTTTTAAAAGCTGTGGTCAGAAAACAGCCCTTTGTCATTTTTATTCACATTCCATTAGCAAATATGGCTACACTTCACTGCATTGAGACCACGAAGTGTTCTCTAGCTCTGAGCCTATGAGCAAGAGAAAGCTGGTGTTAAGCCAACAGCCGGAAATTCTTCCCCTAATTATTAAGATTTCACTTGAAGGTAGTTCCAGGACTAGTTTAAGATTAAAACAGTAATCAGCATTCAGAGGGGTTGGGGGATGACGCCTTTCGCCTTCTCATAAGCTTGTTACCTTCCTTCTCCCAGACACTTAGCCATACCCTCCCAGTTCTGAACTGTGAGCTGTAGAGAGGTGCAGCTAATGTTCCTGTGACTCTGCCCTGCAGTGTTCGTTTGGCATTTTCACTTTCATGAACAAAAGAGGACCCACCTATACCGTATTATAGTTATATTAATTTCTGAAGTTGTAGAGTAGCATGTCTGTTTGAAAGATGAAGAAACTGAGCTGCAGAGATTACCTGGCATCATCCCAGACTTCGAAACAAAACATATTGTGCCATGCCAGGCGTTGAATCGATGGACTTACCTTGTAAGCCTTGCACAGGACCACTGAGCCCTTGCCCCAGCCTGCCTGGCACGCCTGAGCTCCGCAGTTGTCTTCTCTGTTCTGACCAGGCCAGTCTGTACCTTCTGATATTCAGATTTCCAACTGGGACCAATTTTAAATTGTATGACTTCATTTTTAGGGACTTTAATAGAATGTCACCAACGTGCATTCTTTTTGTTCTGCTGCCAAAAAGCATCTTTCTCAGACCTAAAAAATTTCAAGACAAGGTTCAAAGGGTGAACTCAAAGACAACAAACAGGGTCCCTTTAATTGTCTTGATTTTAGTTTATTATGTAAAGGCTACAGATAATAGTAAATGGGCTACTTTCACATCAATTCTCTTGATATCAGCATCTCTGAGTTCACAGAATGTTTGCTACAGGATCTGACAGTTTGTAAGTCATGATGTGGAGGTTTAAAACAAACACTTGGGAGATCGGGGAGGTAGGGCTAAGGTCTGAAGCACTTGCCTCACATGCATAAGCTCTGAGCATTATCCCTGGCATTGCATGGGGTCCTCGAACAACACCAGGCTTGTTCTGGTGGCCCCCTAATACCACTGGGTCCAAGCATCGAACCATTAGGTTCACACTGAGCTGATTATCCCTAGACCTTGCATGTGCTTCCCCCGCCAAAAAAGAGTAAATTACGGCCCATTTTTATGCTATTTCAAGCTATTCCCAAGTAAAAGTGTGATGAGATGAAATATATAGAAAACATTTAATCATCTTTTTAATTAGATGTCATCATGTTTAGCTTAAGGATGTGAAAATCTGGTGTATCAATTCCTTCTCTAGTTTGTTGCCCTATTTTTGTTTGTTTGGTTTTGTTTTTGAGTCACACCTGGAAGTGCTCAGGGACTATGTAGGGTGCTGGGGATCAAACCAGGGCACAGTGAGAAAGGCACTTGCCTTGTATGCTGCCGATCAGTGTTAGAGCCCTGACATCCTATATGGTTGCAGAGCTCTGCCACAAGTGATCCATGAGAACCAGCACTGCTGGGTGTGGTCTCAAGACAAAAACATAAAATAAGACTGAAAAATCATTCTTTGACTTTTATTTTCATTCTTGTTTCTTGGATTGGGACCACACTCAGCTTGTTAGGGTTTGCTCCTGGCAGTGCTCAGGTAGCCCTCTAGTGCCTTTCTATATGCGAAACACATTCTGTAACTTGCTGAGCTCTCTCTAGCCCCTCCAACTTCACTTTGACAACTAAGTTACAGTCTCCCCAGCCTCCCAGCTGGGTGGAGGAAGACTGAGTACTCCCGGTATGGCCCAACACCCTGTCTCCCATTCCCCCACCAAAAAAAGAAAGAAAACTAAAGTTTTTGCAGTCTCTTCTGCTTTTTGCCTCTTGCCTATTTGGTCCCTGTTCCTGAATCACCTTATTTATGACACAGATGTCTGCTTTTCCTAAAGTGGTGCTACATGGTCAATTCCAAAGTAATTTTCAGAACTGTCATGTGGATTGAATCTGCGGATGCCCCTTGTTCTTTTGGGAAGGTATAAGTCAGCGCAGGCTGGAGAGTGCCTCCTGTGATGTGCTTCTCAAGCAAGAACCCTCGCATTTTCTAGTTTTTTTGGAGTGGTATGTCCACAATGCTATTGAAGAGCCATTCTAGCCAAAAGCTGCTCTTCAAAGAAATGCTGGGAGAGGTCGTCCAGCACTGACTTATTTTGGTATTCTGTGAGAAGAAAATCCCCACTGTCACTTGTGTTGGGGATGCAGTGATTGAGCAGAAAAGCCAGGTTTCAAAACTAACAGCCTCTTCCTCTTCTAGATGACAGTTTCCATATCTTTAAAATTAGAAACTGCAGGTCAGATAATTTATAAGGGCCTTCCTTAAACTCGTTCTTTTCCCTAACGATGCTAATAAGCAGCTCCCCAGACCATGGAAATAACTCATTTCCAGTATGATTAACCTGTGAAGGGCTGTTAGATTTGGTCTTAGTTGTGCAAAGGGGTGTAATCTGTAAGATTCCACATTCCTTACTGATGTTGGAACTTGAACCCATCAGACAGGCACTTAGAAAAGATAAAGCTGGGAAGAATCACAAGCTAGAACCCAGAAACATGCACTGGAGCCTGTGAAGACCATTAAAAGCTGTGACCTTTGATGGTGATGTGACATCTTGCCCAAAGGCCCAAATAGCCTGAGAGATATGCAGGGGAAGGCAGAGTGCTTGCAGGCCCAGATGCTGACTCTCATCAAGGTGGGCCAGTGTATAAGGAATCGTGCATCCCACAGAGGCTGCTGCTTCATTTAAGAATTCCTCATCTTGCACAAGAACTTGTGGTTTATTGAAACTGGAAGCACAGAGAAGGACACTCTGGAAAATAAGAGTTGTTGATACATTTCAAACTGTTTATCACAGGGGCAGGAGACAGACTACAGTGGGGAGGGTGCTTACCTTGCATGCAGCTGACCTGGGTTCCATCCCCAGCATCCATGTGGCTCCACCCACCCAGAAGTTATTCCTGAGCACAGGAGTAACCTCTCAGCATTGCTGGGTGTGGCCCTCAAACCAGTGTTTATCACAGATACTAAGATTTTGGGGACCATTATTTATATTTTCACACATTTCAGTTATTTTGAATGAAATAAAATGCATGACTTATGTAACTAAAAATAATTACATAATTAAAAATAGCAAATGGGGGGAACCCTTCTTTTAATAAAAGTTCACTATTAACGGAGAAAGGCCTGAGTGTACATGAACAGACTGAGTACAGCCTTTACTGCCACATATGGCCCCCAAACCAGAAGTAAAAGAATTGAGATACCATGGAGACATGAACATAGCTTTATCTGAAAAGTCAAAAATTTCCTGCTTTATGGGTAGGACTGGTAGTACAGTGGGTAAGGCACTTGCCTTTCACACGGCCGAGCCAAGTTCTGTCCCCAGCATTCCTTATGGTCTCCTGAGCACCACCAAGAGTAATTTCTAAGCCAGGAGTAACCCGAGCATCGATCACAGGGTGTGGACCAAAAAAAACAAACAAAATGCTTGCTTTATTTACCTTATTTGATGCTTAATAGTAGTTGAACATTGGCAACAGGCCCTAAAAATCCAGATGCAGAATGAAATTAAGGAAAACTTAGTATTTCTTAACATTATGTATCAGAAACTTCTGGATCACTATGTATCTCCAGTGCATAAAAGCTACCTGCAGGTTACACCATCTCAGTCCAGAGACATAGCTGCAGATGATGTAACTGACAGTAACAGCTGGCTTCAGGGACTCACTCTTCTGTGGACACCAAAATTCCTTTTTTTCAATAGTGTGTGTGTTGTGTGGCTAAACCATAGACACAGAAATTAAGGAGTACTAATAAACACATAACAAAATTTAAACTTGTGTATTATGCCAAAATTCAGACTCAGCGCTCCTGAATCAGACAAGTTGGGTATCTTGGATTTTACTAATACGAACCTCAAACTGCTTGGCACACAAGATGCTTTCATGTTCCTGGCTTTCACATTGCCACTGGGTTTATACCACAGGAGGGTGTTAATTAGAAACAAGTGAATAAAAGTAGTAGCATTGGGAATACCTTTTTATTTATTTGGGGGCCACACCCAGCAGTGCTCAGGGCTTACTCCTGGCTCTGAACTCCTGGTGGGGCTCAGGAACCATATGGGGATTCCAGGGATTGAATCTGGGTTACACATGTGCAAGGCAAGCACCCTCCCTGCTGAACTATAACCCCAGGGATTAACTTTTGAAGTTCTTCACGAATTTAAGAGGTCACTGTCACTGTCCTCCGTTGTTCATCGATTTGCTCGAGCGGGCCCAGTAACGTCTCCATTGGAGACTTTTGTTGTTACTGTGTTTTGGCATATCGAATATGTCACGGGTAGCTTGCCAGGCTCTGCCGTGCGGGCGAGATACTCTCGGTAGCTTGCCGGGCTCTCCGAGAGGGGTGGAGGAATTGAACTCGGGTCGGCCATGTTGGCTGCGTGCAAGGCAAACGCCCTACCGCTGTGCTATCGCTCCAGCCCAAGAGGTAAACTCTGAATTTAAAACATCAGTAATAAAGTATTTGTAATCCCTCTTGGGTATCACTATCCTAAGGTTAAAAAGCTGTTTCCATTATCGGGATCATGTAAATGCTCCACTACCATGTAGGTATTGGAAAAAAAAAATAGAAATAGCTGAATTTTATATTTCATCCTCTGTTTTATTGTCTGAAAAATTTATATAAATAGCTATATAAATTGATCTTATTGGTTGAGTCTTTTTACCAAGTTTAAACCAAGTTTAAACAAATAAATTGAGGGAAAGTGTGGGGGAGGAAAGAAAAATGGGTAGTCAGTCTACTAGGAACAGTTTCAATTTGGAAAGAAGAGTTGTGAACATCAATGCCGGAGAAGGTTGCATGCAGAACAAAATGGATATACAGAAAAATGTGATATGGACAATGAACCCAAAAGACAAAAAAAAATCCTTTTTGTCCCTTTTAATTTGAGTAAGTCTCTAGCTCCAAGTGCTAGGTCTAGACTATGGACAATTATGGTGAGTTTTACTAAAGGACAACCACACACAGTTCTAAGAACATTGTCGCAGGACAGTAGTTTTCAATTGCTGGCCTGTAGAAATGTCCCGCTGGTTGAAAAAAGTCCTGGTCCTTCCTGACGGCGGGGCTCAGCTGCCAGTCTGTTCTCATCTGGGGCTGATCTGCAGGTACAGAGGCTGAGGGCACTGCCGCACACCACCCTCTGCAGCTCTGCTCCTCTTCCTGCCGTGCTCTTCCAGGCAGCGCGATGAAGGGCGTCTTTCCACTCTGTCCTGTCTTGTCATTCATAATAAACAAATGAAAAGTCCCAGAAACCTGTTCTGTTGGGGATGGTTTTCTTTTGTTCAAGGCTTCGATGGTTAATGTGCTTGACAAATTTCAGTGTCTCTTTATCTCTGTAGACCAATGCCAAAGAGTTGTTTTCTGGATTCACTGTTAGCAGCTGAAATAGGCATAAATATACAACGACACATAAGAACAAGAGCTTGTTCTCAACACCACTTCGTTAGTGACTTAGCAGTGAACATTAAAATGGTTCCTAATAGCAAGAACTTAAGACGAGAGATGGGGATCTGTGATTAGGCCAGGGATATGGCTCAAAGAACTGGTATTGCATGCTTTGCATGTGGGAGCTCTAGGTCTGATTCCTGGCAGTCCTTGTCCTCCGCACACTGCTGACAGAGGCACCTGAGCACACCTGAGCAGCACATCTGTAATTGCTCTTGAGCACATCTGGATGTGGCCCCAAATTCGGGGTTGGAGGAAAAGTATTATTAAGAACTTTTGCTCTGGCCATCAAGACACTTTCCAGCAAGCCTCATTCTAAACAATAACATACAAACCATATAACGGTGAGTCACAAAGATTCCACCTAATGCTTCTGCTTCTTCCTACAAGGATGAATAGTGGGATGGCATCACTTTCTTTGGGAATTTTCAGTAGGGTAGAATGAATGCTCAGTGATTATCCTTTACCATCTTTATTCCACAGTGACTACTTTCTACTAGAAATGACTACTTTCTACTATTGTAGGCAATATAACAAGGATTTAATCAGCTTAAGATATTGGTGGGTTATAAAAATTGGGCTATGAAGAATGAAAACTTCAAGAATTAAAAACCATAGTTTGTTGTCTGAAGCAACTTACCTCTTCATCTTCACCTTTGGCAATGTAGCAAGTAAAACCCCCAAACTCTGGATCCCAGCCTTACAATGAAGACAAAGAAAATGCATTCAGAAAGTTCTCCTTGGTTATAGCATCTGCTTATATTGTGGATTATTGGGTAGGAGTTGGGAAAATCATTAACTAGTCAATACCAAGAACAGAAAGCTAATAATTAAAATATGCCTGGCAAAAGTTACATAAAAGCCATAGACCTGGACTCTGGGAGGTTGGCTCTGTGAAGGAAAATTATGGTTTGGTTCATATCCTATAGCTCTGTCACAGATAAAAATTCTAATTTGAGTTATAAGCCTATAACTCAGGACCCAAAGATACTTCCAAAACGAAATCCCTGTGACTAGAGCTCATGACCATGGCAAATTGTTTCTCAGCTGATTCAGGAGAGGGTCCCATGGGAGAGATGCTCCCTCTTCTGAACATTCACTGTTTCCCCCACCTTCCTCTTACCTTCACAGCCGCAGTAGAAAAGTAAGTCCAGGGCAAATTCAGTCTTGATGTTGTCATAGATTAGTGTGTAGTGACCAGTCTTCCAACCCCTCAACTCTCCGTGGCACATGGGAACACTGGATTCTAAAAGAACATAAGAGTAAAGCTACAGAGCAAGCCCAACGGGCTGAGCACATTCTTTGTATGCAGAAGGCCTGGGTTTGATTTCTGACAACACAAGGTCCTCCCAACTCTTCCCAAGCACTGCCAGGAACACCTCCTGAGCAGAAAAGGGGTGTTACTCTAGACAAGCAACCAGAAAAAAGCCTGATGCCACTGTTGCAAGGGAATGCTACTTAGAAGTAAAGGAAAACCATACCCACAAACCTTCAGTTGATCTACCCACTCCAGCCTGGAGTGACTTTCTGAAACTACCAGGTCTACTTGGAAAGGGGGAATTTAATTTTTCATTCTTTGTTTATAATACATTTTTTATGAAGTAGCTATCTTGCAAAAAAAAGGTTTCCTAAATGCAAACATTACTAGCAGAGCCAGGAGTAACCCCTGTGAGTGAAAGATGATGGAAGGGAAGTAGTGACAGATCAGAGCGAAAGCCTACCTTCCTTTGCTGCGTCCTCCTCTGTGACATCTCCTGAGTCCGGGATGCTCTGTTCCCCACTCTGCCGGCTGCTGCTGCCACCGGCCGCTGGATCCACCTCTGGCTCTGAGGAACTATGGCTAGTACCTTCTTCAGTGTCAGCCAAAGCAGCGGAAGTTTCTCCCTCTTTCTTGTCCTCAGTCTCATCTTCGGAAGGTGCCAGGAAGTGAAGCCTCAGACCTGTGAAGTTGGAGAGTAGCAGGAAAAACGCCTCGGAGCGGAATAACACCATGCAGTCCTTCAGTATGTCGGGAAGATTGCTTTCCTCAGCCTTGTCATAGAACCTGAAAGGCAACGAAGCCGCAGTGTTCATCATGGAAAAAAGGCTCTCCCTGAATCTTGGTGGGGTCACCAAAGCACCAGTTGTCACCATGAGATTTTGTGAGGGCCTGCTACTGGCTGCCCTGGGAAGGGAGGATCATTAGGGTAAATGTCCGACTGAGGAGAGTCTTATAGATGAAACAGGCAAATGCCAAGTGCAGAAGCAAAAGCCTTGGATGAGAGGCTCTACCTTTTATTAGGGGGACCCCGGCTGTTCCACTTCACATCTCCTTTCTCCAAAGCCTCACAGACCTTGGCAAATTTCTCAGGCTGAAAAAGGATAAAAATAAATCAAACATAGTTTGTCAATCTCTGAGCTCACAATGGTCCTGCAGATTTAGCAGCTCTGCAGAATAATTCTGTTGATTCCTAAAAGAATCAATGCAAAATACCCTAGACCTGGTGTAATAGGAGGAAGCTAGGGAAAGAGCTAGCTAAACTGTCAGCATGTTTAGCTAAGAGATCAGAGTACCAATTTAGGCTATTTCTTTAAGCATCTTCTGTCAAATTGCTTAATCTTTCAAATACCTTCATGATAAAATGAGAATACAGTCTTTAATTTGTAAGCTGTGCTACCTCTCTGGCCCCAGCTTTTATTACTATTCACCTACCATCCAAGAGGCAAGACTGCATGCTAAATGAGATCCACAGAACAGGATATACCAGCCTACCTTAAGGAACTCCTTGAGGAGAATTTCGGAACTTTCTTCAAACTCTTCTTGAATCTGAATTTGGTAATCCATGTCCAGGTAAGTAGGGTTGATCCACTCATACAAGATTTCATGCTGATGTAAAGCATCAGATGTAAAGGCAAGTTAGTAAATTCCTATTGCATTAGTTCCTGCTTAACCCTACTAGGAGACACACAAATTCTCATGCTGTAATTTTTTTCCCTGTTAAACATACTGTCTGTGAAGGACACTATCCAAAGTTTATTTAAGATAAACGGAAGGGGAAATTCAAAGTCTAGTTTTATAATCAGAATAGTCCCATATAAGACCAGAGCAGTGGTGATAGGACTGCGGGTAGGGCACTTGCCTTGCATGCTGTTGACTGGGGTTCAATTCTCAGGACCCCATATGGTCCCAAGACCCTACAGTAATATCTGAGCACAGAGCCAGGAGTAAGCTCTGAGTACTGCCAGATGTGCCCCACCCCGTTACCTCCTCCCACCACTCCCCCTGCCAAAACTAAACACACAACCACAGCAGAAACTAGTATATGACAGCTCTAAGACAAGAATCCCAGTAACAGATCAATTCTGTCACTTACATCTTGAGGAATGTGAGGACTCCGAGGTAGGAGAGGCTCAAAGTACATGGGAGGTCTGGTTATTGAAGGACCGTGAAACCAGCCACTTATGGACAAACGAGACTTTTCTTCAGAGAGGACTTCAGACACCTGAAAGAACAGGGCCAACAACACTTGAACCAAACAACCAGGAGGAAGATCACTAGTCGAACACACAGACTTCAAGATCCTTCACGCTAGGTCCAAACACAACTGGCTCAGCTAAGACAATGGGAATCTCTCCCATTCAGATGGGGGGCGGGTGATTAAAAAGCACAACCTTAGTTCTTTTATACTTGAGGCTAACTTTTTTTTACCTGGTGAAAGGATACTGGAGACACTTCAAAGAAAACCAATGTGTTCCATGAAGGGACAAGAGACTTGACAATCTGCTTCGGCTGAAAGTGCTCTGCACCAGGAGAGAACATATCCATCAACGGACTTTCATTATTTGGGACCACTTCCAGGCAGCCTCACTTCACCTTGACAATCCCAAATGTCCCCAGGTACCTAGACATACCTGGCAGATCTCAAAATACCTAGTCCCCTTTCATCTGTTTTTCTCTTACTTGCTAGTTCTGCAATGTGACATTTGTCTTGGCTATACCATCCATCCATTACGAGTGAAGGTTGAAAAATAAGGCTTTTTTTCTTTTTTCTTTTTAGGCCGTATCTTGTGATGTTCAGGGGCTACTCCTAATTCTACACTCAGGAATTACTCCTGGTGGGACTCAAGGGACCTCAGAGATGTCAGGGATCGAACCTGGGTCAGCTGCATAGAAGGCAAGCATCCTACCCACTGTCCTATTACTTCAGCGATGATGGCTGAAATAAGTTACGAAGGTTTTCTGGTGTCAGCCATTCAAAACAATAACCCCAACTTCCTGCCCAATGAACAGGCCCTGGCAGAATCACATCCACAAATCAAGAAAGCTTTGCTTTCATGTTCACTGTTCTGAATTGGGGCCAACTTTTCCACATCTTAAAATCTTCTAACTTATCTCTGGATTAATGATCATTTAAAATACAGTTTAAGAGAGGTGGCTGTCTCAGCTGCCATTTCCTCCTAGATGGTCACTAGAAGGAATAAGTTTCTTCTCCTTTGAGAAGTACATTTTGTATCAGAATTTCTAAGAGGCTTTTGATGTTAAACAGTACGTGATCATCTTACCATTCACATTGTACAGATCCAGGGTGCCACCCAAGCTCTGGTCCCAGGGAGGAACTAGGTAAAGAATGAAGGCAATCCGTCGCCCTTCCAGCTCATCATCATGGCAGAGCAGGGCATCTGCAACAATTAATGCACACTTAATCTCCCTCTGCAGACAACGGGCAGCTGATAAGTTATGCCATTATTAATGACATGCCTTGGTAATGGTGACTCCTTCAAACTTTAAAATGACACACATTTCTTCTCCATTAATTACAGAAATATAGAAATCAAGAGATTTGGTTTGTGAAGCACTTGGTGTGTAAAGTACTACCTGTGAAGTCCTGGGGTTTGATCCCCTGGCACTGGGGGGAAAACTCCAGAACACTAAATATACACTAACATGCTAGATCCATATATATCAGATCAATTCAGAGATAATTAAGAACATATTTAAAAGTATATTCTTTTAGTTGTTGTTTTTTGGGCCATACCCAGTGGTGCTGAGGATATGCTCCTGGCTTTGTACTCAGGGATTAGTTCCTGGTAGCACAGGGGATCATATGGGGTGCCAGGGATCGAACTTAGATCAGCCATGTGCAAGGCAAGTGACTTACACACTGGTCCTTGAAAGTATATTCTTTCAATATTTTTCTCACAAACGTGTATTTGCTTCTTTCCCAGTCATGACCGGGGGTCACACCTGGGCTGTGGTTTGCAGAAGATTAAACTCAGTTGTGGAACCAGGGATCCCATACAACATAGCTGCTGGGATCACACTCAGGCATGTGAGTTGGTGCCCAGGTTCCAACTCATGTACTCACCAGCCTTGTGCATGCAAGGCGGGAGCTCTACAACTGAGATATCCTTAGCCCCTTAGATGGTTTTGCTCTTTTTCCTAATTTTCTTTTTGGGTTATACCCAAAAAGAAAATTAGAAAGAGCTCAAGAGCTTATTCCTGGCTCTGTGCTCAGGGATCACTCCTGATAGGGCTCAGGCTTTGTGCAAGGAAAGCGCCTAACCACTGTGCTATATCTGCAACCCTTTTTAAAATAGTGGTTACCCCCAGTGGTACCTAGGGGGAACTCCAGTGCTGTTGTGCTGGGGGACACCTGGGTTATACCCGACAATGATGGGCATGGGTAGGCAGACAGTGCCAGGGACTCAATTCAGAGCCTTGGGCATATCAGGAAAGTGCTCTGCCATGTTCTGCACCCTGACATGTGTATGCTTTCTTAACAAATGGTATTTAGCAGACCTAGGTCCAACTGTTCCACATTATGGCCTCCCAAACCTCACCAGAAGATCCTGAGCACAGAGCCAGGAATATGCCAAGCACCACCGAATGTGTGGTATCCCCCCGAAAAAAAAAAAAAAGGTATCCTATAGTGATTATTTTGTGGTCAGCTTTTGAAAAATTATATAACAAATGTTTTTCCTTATCAACATACACACTTGTCATCACTTTCGATAGCTACTTAATTCTGGACTGTAAGAGTTTCACCATATAATAAATGGGTAAATGGAATATTTACATAGTCTTAAATATCTCCTGACAAAATACTAAACAAGGAAAGGACAAGTTTACAGGGCTGGGAAGAGACCTCCACAGGCTGAGTGCATGCCACATATGCAAGAATCCAAGGCACATCTTCTGGTATCACATGATGCCCCAAGCTCTATGGGGAGTGACTTCCCAGCACTGAGCCAGGAGTACCCCCAAGGGCCCCCAAACCATCCAAACCATCGGGCATGGCTCTTAAAGTTTACAGAGAAAATGACATCAGCCATCATTTTAATCATATGATCAAAGCCAGTATCACTAGTAATATGACATTTATTACTGTCATAATAATGACATTTAGAAAGCATGTACCATTTGATAATATGCACTATAGCACTGTCCTCCCATTGTTCATCGATTTGCTTGAGCAGGCGCCAGTAACGTCTCCATTGTGAGACTTGTTGGTTACTGTTTTTGGCATATTGAATACGCCACGGGAACCTTGCCAGGCTCTGCTGTGCAGGCAAGATACTCTCGGTAGCTTGCCGGGCTCTCTGAGAGGGATGGAGGAATCGAAACCAGGTCGACCATGTGCAGGGCAAACACCCTACCCGCTGTGCTATTGCTCCAGCCACTTGATATATGCAACACATAATTCAGTAATATTCCTGCCCAAGATACAATTAACCTAATTGTGAGGAAGCATCCAACAAACCTAAATGGAGGAAAGTTTTGCAAAATAACCTGTCAATCTTCAGAAGGATTAATATCATGGGTATTAAGTAAGGAGAAAAGGACTATTCTTGACTAGACATGAAAACTAAATGCAGCATGAAATCCAGATCAGATCCTTTGCTTTATTATATAGAATTAAATAATGAAACTTGAGTGCAGCTTGTGGATCAGATGGGAATGACGTATCAGTGTTAATTTCCCAACTATTAGTTTATTACTATCATGTAGCAAAATGTCTTTGAAGGAATTACCGAAAAAGTGTCCTGAAATATCACTTTAATGGTAACAATATGATCCCTATCCCTGGCTTGCAATAGGTCCTGGGCTTTATCCTGCAGGTGGAGTGGTGGGGGAAGAGCAGATGATATGCTCATCCATGTGTTACTACTAAGTTGGTTAGGGTACAGCAATTGCCTTGCACATGGGACACCCTAGGTTTGACCAAAAAACAACAGCAACAACAACAACAAAAAGGTGATCAATTTCTACTTACCTACAATGTGTAAGAATGACTCAAGTTGGTATTTACTAAAACAACACAACAGAATACTTATCCTTCTAGACAAAAAAGCCAAAGGTCAGGCAAAGGGGGAGTGGGGGCACAAATGATACAAAATGGACCCTGATAAGGGGATTGGTGTTGAAGCACTGTGTGTCTGAAACCCTATCATGAATAAACACAAAAACAAACATGGTCCTCCCATTGTTCATCGATTTGCTCGAGCAGGCCCAGTAATGTCTCCATTTTGAGACTTCTTGTTACTGTGTTTTGGCATATTGAATACGTCACGGGGAGCTTCCCAGGCTTTGCCGTGCAGGCAAGATACTCTTGGTAGCTTGCCGGGCTCTCCGAGAGGGGTAGAGGAATCGACCCCGGCTCGCCCAGGGTGGCTGTGCACAAGGCAAACACCCTACCGCTGTGCTATCACTCCAGTCTATCATGAATAACTCTGCAATTTCAGGGTGACTAAATAATAATTAAAAAAAAAAAACTAAACATTTTCAAAAAGCTACTTATATTATGCTCCAAAAAGAATCTGAAAAGATGCACCCAACTGGGATAATGGATATGTATGGGAGAAAGGGAGTGATGGGGAAGGGGATGATTATGGTTTACAATTCTCTATTATCTGTATTCTTTAAGAATATATTCACTTATTACCTAGCACAGTGGGTAGGGTGTTTGCCTTGCATGTGGCCAACCCAGGTTCAATTCTTCCGCCCCCTCTTGGAGAGCCTGGCAAATTACCGAGTGTCCTGCCCGCAGGGCAAAGCCTGGCAAGCTACTCGTGATTATTTGATATGCCAAAAAGAGTAACAACAAGTCTCACAATGGAGACATTACTGGTGCCCGCTCGAGCAAATTGATAAGCAACGGGAGGACAGCGCTACAGTGCAGTGCTACCTTCAATAAAAAAAGAGCTTAATGGAGAGGTAGTACAGGAGATAAAGCACTTGGATGCAGCTGATCCCTGCTCAGTCCCACAAGCACCATTGGGAGTGATTCCAAAATGCTCTCTGACGGCTGAGTCCCCTCCCACCCTCCAGGAAGAGATGGCAGTGAGGGAGACAACTGTTTACTAGGAAGTCTAAGAATAAACAATGTTTTCCTGTTTTGTTTTTTGTTTTATCAACACTTGCCTCATGTATACAAAAAAAATGTGCACTTTACCATGGAGCTACATCCCCAGCAATCCCCAGGAAGTCTAAGAACAGATTCTAGAAGTTCACCTCTAAATTTGGACTAATGTATGTGAAGTTGGTATATAGGCAAAACTGCAATTTTTTTTGGAAATATGCAAATACTGAAGCCAATTGCTTTCAATATTTTTGTAGAGAAATATTACTTATACCTTCCAATATAATGGTTAGCTTCTATGTTTAAATAAGTCAGATCTTTGCTATTGAGAAGTGCCAAGTTATTGGTTTGGATAGTATTGCATGTGGACAACCAGGTTTGATCCTCAGCATCCCAAATGGTTCCTGAGTACCACCAGAAGTAATTTCTGAGTGCAGAGTCAAAAGTAACCTGATTGCCAGGTATGGCACCAAAACAAAAACAAAAAACAAATTAAAAAAAAAGTTCCAAGCTATGTAGGGACATATTAACTAAGATTTTGGTACACTGATATTATTTTTCCATCACTGTTTAGTTGAAGGTTTTTTGATTTCATAGACACTAGGACGTGTCTGTTATCTCTCTTACCTGAAAATTCATATTTAGCACAGGACATGTCAATGGTTGATTCCAGGTCCGTCTTAGAAATGTCAGAAATCCAGATTCGAAAATCTTCATATAGAATTTTCCTAGAAATGTGAGTCAAAGAACTTTTTAAGGGGCTGGACAATATAATATAGTCCAGTTGGTAGCGTGCTTCCCCAGCACACAGCTGACCTGAGTTTGATCCCTGGTTTCCCATATAATTTCCTGAGCACCACCAGGAATAAACCTGAGTGCAGGTCAGGAGTAACTCTGGAGCATTGCTGGGTGTGACCCCAAACTAAACCAAACCAAACCAAACCAAAAGATAACTTGTTAAATCTTAGTGTGGACTCCAACTGCATCAATAGCACAACCATTTTCCCCTTTAGTTTGCATTTTATTCATGAGATCAATTCTGAGAATGTTCATCAGTTTATTTATATATTTGTTGAGGGGTGGGTTTGGGGCCACACCCAGAAGTACTCAGGGCTTTGCTCTGTGCTCAGGAATCATTCCTGTGCTCAAGGGACCATATACGGTGCTGGGGACTGAACCTGGATGGCTGTGTGCAAGGCAAGTGCTTAACCCCTATACTATCTCTTCAGCCGAGTTTAAGGATTGAGATTCCCAGAGAAATAAATGTTAAGTTTATTTCTGTAAAATGTTTTTGTTTTATAGTTTCATTTCTTTTTCTTCTTCCTAAGTTTATAGTGTGCTCTCTCACGACAGCAGTCTGACCTTAATAATGACCTTTCCATTCCATTACAAAGTCACTCACTTTTAGACATGATCTCATTATTACCACTGGTACCATAATAAATAATAATTGTCCTGTGCAATGAGCTCTTTGTTGACACTGTGTAGATCAGAAATGCTTAATTAGAATAATGGTGAATGTTATAATAATGGTTCAAAGTATCAGAACTCCACAGGAGTCCATCCCATAAATAATGGACATTTCAATTTACTACTAAAATGGCCCTGTGCAGAGGAGCCTCTTTAATGAGTTTAGAAATCATGTTATCCTTAATGAACTAAAGGATATCTAATTTTTAAATATTTTAACATTTTGTTTCATTTCTTTTTCTTCACATCAAGAAACTTAATTAAGTTTTAAAAAATCATTCTAGTTCAAATGTGCGGAGTAGACATTTCCATAAAATGCAAGTGTGGGAGCCAGGACAACAGCTCAAGCAGGTAGAGTCTGTGCCCTGCATGTGCAAGATCCTGAGTTCGATCCTGGCACTACAGGACTCCCCACCTCCACCAGCACTGTCAGGTGTAACCAGGGTGGTTCAAACACTGCCACACTCTGGGCATATCTCAAGACCTTACACTGGGCTAATACTGCTGGAAGTGGCCCCCCCGCCCCTGAGCTCTGCTGGGGTGAACCACACTCCCTCCCCCACCCCCCCAAAACCTCAATTGTGCTTTTCATACCTAAATATCAAGTCTTCCAGTTGGCGAAAGATTTTATTATCTTTTACTATACATGACACAAACCAAAAAATTCCAGAAAATGTTGTGCTCATTTTTGACCTCTTATATTTTTATTTGTTTTTTGGGCTACACCCAGCTGTGCTGAGGGATCACGCCAGAGTAAGTGCTTCCAAAGTCATTCAAAGAAAATGTCACCAGGACAGGCTTGGTTTTCTGTCAACACTCTCATTTACTAATTGCATTCATGACAGAAATCACAAAACCCAACTGGGAAATATAAATATTACTTTTCTATAACCATCAAGGAATTTCATCTCTCACACCATCTGGCTGTTATCCTTTGGGTACAGAATGTAACTGAGTTTCCTAGGAGATTCTTACCAGAGGAGTGATGTGAATTAATAAGAGAATGCCTGAAGGCACGATAATAACTCTCAGAGAAAAAAAGGTTTAGATAAAAAGGAAATATAAGAGGGTCAGAATGCCTTGCTTGGGACCCACCCGAGGCACCCTAGATGATCCCTTGAGCCCACCAGACGTTAGCACCACTTGGTGTGACCCAAAAAACAAAAACAACAACAAAAGGAATGTAAGACACATGAGCAACTGATTCAGAATTTAGAACAATCTATGCAGCTATCACTGTATTATAGAAATGTCAAGTGAAAAGGAGAATATGCAAGAATAGCTGGTAGGGTTGGAGAGCTAGTACGATGGGTAAGATGCATGCTTTCAGGCAGCCAACCTGAGTTTGATCCTTGGTACCGAAAATGGTTCCCGGAGCCCCAGTGGGCATGATCCCTGAGTCACAGAGCCAGGAGCAGCCCTGAAGTCAACCCAGTGTGGCCCCCCAAATTGTGCCTCCTCCCACTGCCCTCAAAACTCTGTATCATTAAACTGAAAAAAAAAAAAAGGAAAAAATAACCAGTATAGACCAAAAACAGCTGTTATAACATGCTTATTGAAACTCTATGTGAGTAAAATGAAACATTAAAAATTTCTAATTCTAGGAGTCAGAGTTAAACATTTCAGTCTTTAAAGTCTTCTGCACACCAATAACCAAGTGTTATTTATTTATTTATTTATTTAGGTAGGGGGGTGGGGGTGGGCACATATCTGGCAGTGCTTGGGGAACCACATGTGGATATGTGGTGCTAGGGATTAAACACAGGTGAGCCACATGCAAGGCAAGCGTCTACCCACTATACTATCTCTCTATGCTTCAATGAGTGGAATTATGCTACAAAAAGATTTATGGTGGCATGGGGCCCATATGCTGCAATACTCAGGGCTTACTTCTGACTCTGAGCTCAGGGATTACTTCTGGTGGTGCTTAGGGAACTATATATGATGCTAGAAATTGAACCTGGGTCAGCTGTGTGCTAGGCAAACATCTTACTCTCCGTACTCTCACGGCCCCAAGATGCATAATTTTAAGGGTTTCAATATATCTTTTAAAACCAGCTTTTAAGAAGATTACAACAGTATATAAAGGCTTCCTTATTCCTACACTAGTGCTTTTATTTTTAATATTAGCCAACCTTGTATGTGAAAAATATAATCTCCAAAGCTGGTATCCTTATAATAAGTCTGACTGTCTTTTTGTCAAGAACTTGGATCTTGGAGCTAATCAGATTTGTGTCTGTAATCTTAGCTCCTTCAAGTTTTACTGATATCTTTTCTTGAAATAAACTTTACAGAGTCAGTGTGCTCCAATGGCAGATTGTGATATGCAACATTTAAAGCACTCACTAATCTGTCTGGCACATGGTGGGCACCCAACAATATGCTTACCTTAAAGCACAGATGTGAGGTTCTCTTCTCTTCTTCAAATCGTCAGACTTGATCACGAAGAAAGAGAAAAAGGATTTATCTATCAGACATCCCAAGAAGAGCAATTGTGTTGAGTGCTCAGGCAGCAGAACACTGTCACTAAGGACCTGGTTGTCTAATATTAAAGTCTGATGCATGTACCACTCATTTGGCAGCTCTGTGACTCAGGCATGGTATTCAACCTCTCTGTGAATTCATTCAATAGTTATTATAGTGGTGCTTAAAATCTTATTGATGGAGTCAGACAATAAACACAGAAACTTGACTATTGGTATAAAAGTTAACAACAACAACACAAAAAAATAGCACAGTAAGAGAGATGAAGAGTACTGAGTGGGGAAGAGGCTGCAGTTATAAATCAGGTAGTCAGAGGCAGACTTTACCGAGGTGAAGCTAAGACCTGAAGAGGGGTGGAATCATCTATGCAAAGAAGATCTCAAGTCCAGAGCAGGAGATGTGCCACCCTTATTCAAGAAATTGTAAGGAGAGAATAAAAATAAATAGAAAAAAAATCGTAAGGAGATAGTCCGGGGGAAGGTAACTTGCCTTGTATGTGGATGGCCTGGTTTAATCTTGGCATTCCTGGGGTCTGCCAGGAGTGATGCCTGAGAGCAGAGTCAGTAGTAAGCCCTCATTGCCTTTAGGGGTGGCCCCCAAACAAACAAAATTTTGTTTGCTAGAGCAGAGCATGCAGAGATGAGCAAGAGAACGCTGCTGCTAACAGGCCAAGTAAAATCAGGTTTGAAACAATAATTGCATGTACAAAATCTGGAAGCTGAGGGACCTGGATGAGTATAGTCTGAACAGGGGGCCTAACAGAATGGGTGAAGAAAAATTTTAGAAAAGAGAAACAATTCATAAGGAGTGCTCCAGAGGAATGGGGAGGAGCTGAAGTCCAGGAGTATTTTTAACTTCAGATGAAAATAATAACTCTGTTCTGGTTAGGTTGAGGGCAAAGATTAAGAAGAGAAAAGAATATTGATAGATCTATAAAACAGGAGTTATAATATATTCCTTAATAAGACTGTGACAGAGAGTCAATGATATAATTAAGAGAATACTGAGCAACTTCTAATGATAAATTTGTCTTAGAGATTAGAGGATGTCTTCGACTCAATTATCAAGCCAATTCATAGCAGAAACAAAGAAAGCTGACAGGGGCAGGAGACTGGGAGCAGACTTTACATTCACTGTCTTAGGATGAAAGTCAGTCCCGAAGTGAGCCCAGTGAAAAATCTTTCCTGAGGTTACGACAATAGTATAGTTGGTAGGGTTCTTGCCTTCCACATGGCTGACCTGGGTTCAATCCCTATCACTCCATATGGTCACCCAAGTCCACAGGCATGATCCTTGAACACAGAGCCATAAGTAAGCCCTGAACACCACTGGGCATGGTACAAAACAAAGCAACAACAAAAATCAGGGGGCTGGGGCAATAGCACAGCGGGTAGGTCATTTGCCTTGCATGGGGCCGACACAGGTTCAATTCCCAGCATTACATATGGTCCCCTGAGCACCGCCAGGAGTAATTCCTGAGTGCACAAGCCAGGAATAACCCCTGTGCATTGCCGGGTGTGACCCAAAAAGCAAAAAAACAAAACAAAACAGATAAAAAAAAACCAACAAAAATCAAACCAAAATATTAAAAAAAAAAAACAAGAAACAAAACTTTCTTAGCAGAACAATTTCACCAAGCACTTAACTGTATTCTAAAATCATGAGCTCTTTTTTCCCCTCATAACACATGATTTTGCCACTCACTGACTCAAAGTTCAGAAATATTTTCATCTACCAAAATGCACTGAAAACTAAAGTAACTTCTCAATGTTAGGAATCAGAGACTACAAGCAAAAAAAGACCCAATGTTATCAAAGTTGACCTGATTACAAAGGCTGACAACTATGGTTTTAAATGAACCTATGCTAAACTCCACAATTGCCACCATGCTCCTGGTAGGACTCCACTGCTCAGGACAAGCCTCATGCAGAAACTGATCAGCTGAAAAACTCAGGTATGTGAGGTTCATGATTGAAATCACCAGGCTTTCATTGAGACAGGGATGAGCTACCTTCCCCCATATCTCTGTACTTCTGGAAGCCTCAGCAGTCATGCCCATGAACCACCTCCAGTGCCATATAAGCTCTTTCATGGTCATGATCCATGGACTCATAATAAATCTCAAAAGAGATCAACAAGTTTCAGAGAATCTTCTGGATCTCCACAAGGCTGAGTTATCCGGGGCACCCCAGAGGAGAGCGGGTGAGCTCCGGCAGCCAAAAACCTCCATAATTGGCCACCATCCTCTTGGCCGGACTTCACTGCTTGGTGAAGTGAAGAGCCTCATCCAAGGCTTAATCTGTTGAAAAAACTCAGGTATGTGGGTTTTATGACTGAAATCTCCAGGCTTTCATGGAGCTGGGGATAGACTACTTCCCCCCAACTCCCTGTACTTCAGGCACACACCCCCAAATGCCACCTAGTTAAAAATTTAACTCCAAATATATCACCTTGTTAAAAATGTTAGACTTCCTGGAGCACACATCTACCACTCAAACTCTGCAACACCGATAAACCAGGTCTCGCACACCATATTGGATAAAATGTAATGTAGAAGGCAACCAAACTGATTAACAAAATAACACAGACAGCTTAATCTATAACAACATATTAGTAATCTCTTATATAATGGCTTAACAGCTACATGGTGAGATACACATTCTTCACTAACATTCTTCTGAGGAAACATTTTTTGGTCATTGTTAACAAATTATAACAAGCAATATAAAATAAATTACTGAGGGCCTGCTATGAGGGTAGGTTTAAGGGGTATTTGGGAAAATTGGCAGAAAAGACTATATGAAATTAAGATTTGTTTTTTACTTTTGGAAGACAAACCTAAATAAAACTCATTAGATACCCCAATATTAATTTTATGTGGTATTTTCTGCCAAATTAGACTGTCCATTATAAAATAATGGCTCTAACTCTCTGAGGACATGCTGTAATACCATACAGCAGAATGCAAAACATCATGCTATCTATAAGATATAAACACAAAAATGTCACTATTCTAAAGTCTAAGAATCTTCATCATATAACCCCCAAAATATACATAACCTCTCTGTCACTGTCTTCCCGTTGTTCATCAATTTGCTCAAGCGGGCCCAGTAACATCTCCATCGTGAGACTTGTTGTTACTGTGTTTGGTATATTCAATACATCACGGGTAGCTTGCCAGGCTTTGCCCTGTGGGCGAGTAACGTCTCCATCGTGGGACTTGTTGTTATTGTGTTTGGCACATTGAATATGTCACGGGTAGCTTGCCAGGCTTTGCCCTATGGGCGAGACTCTCGGTAGCTTGCCAGGCTCTCCGAGAGGGGCAGAGGAATCGAACCCAGCTTGGCCAGGCCGGCTGCGCGCAAGGCAAATGCCCTACCGCTGTGCTATCGCTCCAGCCCAATCCCTCTGTATAATATATATATGTATATGTTACATATACATATATATATAGCTTCTTAAGTTTCTCTCTTTCTTGTGGGAAGGGGCCTCCCAGTCAGTGCTCAGGGTGTTTGAGGAGCCACTCTTGGTGCTACATGGCCAGTGGTTCGATGTTCAGGCCTGCTGATGCAGAAGGCTTTGGGCCCAGAGGTGCTGAGGGCCACCAGGATCAAACTGGTGGTGCTGGAGTCAGTAGGGTCATATAGAGCAATGCTCTGGGGTTTCCAGGACTGTACCCATAAGTGTTAGGGAGGCATTTTAGTGCTGGGAAATGGGGTAAGGGGCCATGTAGAACAAGGTGTGAGCCTTTTACACATAGTTATTTCCATGGCTTGCTTATTAGATATCTTCACTGTCAATATCAATACTTTCAATTTTAAAGTTCTACAGAGCAGAAACTGTCAAAGAGTCCCATAGAACATTGTACCTAACACATGGTCAACACTTGGCTGAAGTGGGACAACCAAATGCTTACCTTGTCAAGGCAAGGACTCTCCTACGCATATTCAATCTAAAACCTCAAGTTTATTATTTTTATTATTATTTTTTTAAACCTCAAGCTTAAAGGTCCCAAATGAGCTTAAGGGCAATGGACTCCTAAAGAAGAGCTAATGTGAAAGGAGCATAAATACCTGATGGAACTTATATAGATCATTACACTTTTCATGGAAGTTCAAGTTCAAAAGTTCTTTCTGCAGCTCTTCCACAAAGTTTTGGTTTTGGATGAAATTTGGGATCACACAGTGAAGGAAAGGGTCCATGTCCATGACAACAGCATCTGTTGAAAGGGAAACATTATCCATGACTTTTTGCCTCTTGTATTTTTAACTCTCAATAGGGCATCATAAATATAAAATGAGTTAATCATGATTTTCAGAACCCTAGTACCTAAAGTCTATTAGAGGAAAGAATTAAGATTTTTTTTTACCTCTGCCCTTTCAATATTTTTACTTTGGGGTAACACCTGCTAGTGCTCTGGGTTTATTCCTGGCTCTATGCTCAGAGGTCACTCCTGGCAGTGTTGGGGGACCATAGGTGGCATGGAGAATGAACCTGGATGTGCAGCCTTATCTGCTGTATATCTTGTGACTCTTTAAAACATTAGTGCTTAAGATCAGGGCTGGTGATATCACTAAAATAAGGCTCCTGTTCTTTTTGGGTGTTTTTAAACTTGTGACTCCTTACTGAATGTATTTTAGATTTTAAGTTCATTTCCCACCCATCAAATTAAAAAATGAGAATTAAAAATGAGAATAGCAATAATGGCTGGCGAATTTTCTTTCAATCCCACTTTTGCTTTTTTTTTTTTTTTAGTGAAGCAAGATAAATTTATTGAAAGAAATTTAGAGATGTGAGGGGAGAGAAAGAGAGGAACACACGTCTGAACTAGAACAGGGGCTTCTCCAGAGTGAGGAAAAAAAGTCTCAATTCCACTTTGTCTTTCCCCAAGTTACCGCCCCAGAAAGTCACAACATAAACACTTAAAGAAAAAAAACAAAAGTTGAATTGTTATCTCTAATTCCTTTATTTCTACCTCCATCTTTTCCCCACACTGCCTCAGGTGGCCTGGGTTAGGTTCCAGTTTAGAAAGACTGCAATCCACATCACCGCCTACCAGAGGCCCGGTGCACTGTGTTTTACGTGCATCGATCACCTGTCACTTTCTAGGTCACTTTCTAGGCTGTTCGCTACCTCCGGGGCAACGGGATCTCGCCTCCTCCTCCAATCACTCGACTGAAGCTAAAAGGGTGGCAACTGTTGCAAGTGTGGCGGGGTGGGGCGAGCAGGAGGCAGGTGAGCAGGGTTCTCTAAGGTGACACCAAAGGCGGAGAGCTCAAGCCCGGTTCCTTCCCCGGGGCGACACGTTCTTCAGGTCACGCGGCGTCATCTCCTGTACACTGAGCCCAGGACGCCCAGGACCTGGCCACGGGCAGTTCGCAGCAGATGCTCTGGCCACTGGCGCTGGCATCACTAAGCAAGGAAAAAAAAAAAAAAACTCGAGTGCCCCGACCAGGTCCCAGACGTTGACTGGAAACACGAGCGCGTTTAGCTTCGAGACACCTTTTCGCGGCAGCGAGGCTTCGCGTCAGCCGACACTGAGAATCAGCTTTCCGACTTCACAGAAGAAATATGTGAAGTAATTAAAAAAAAAAAAAGAAAGAAAAAGAAAAAGTTCAACCCATTGTCCCACGACACCTAATCCCGGGAGCAATGTTATTTACTGTGAGTCGCGCCGAGCGCTTGCACGCCCACCTCTCCTTCCTGTCACTCTCCCGGCCTATCCGAGACACTTTCTCTTCTCGGGGTGCTCTTCAGGGCACTGGCACCCAAGGGGGCAGCCGGCCCGGCGGGAGCGGGCGACGGCCTCTCTGACAAGATCCTTGTCCCCGAGGCGGGGGGGGGGGGTGTGTGTGCGGGGACGGACCGTCCGGCGGGCCCCCGCGCGCTGCGCTGCGCTGCGCTGCGTGGCCGCTGCCCCTTTCCCAGAGCGCTCGGTTACCGTGGCGGAACGGCGTCCGGCTACGCCAGGCCTCGGCCATCTGCCCTTTAAAGGTCTCTTCCGTCACCGCACGCGACATTTCCGCCTTCACCTCTTTCTTTCTCTTCTTCCCGACCTGGCTCGGGCCGGGCTCGGCGGCCCGTTTCTCACTCATCTCCTCTCGAGTTGCCACGCGCGCCAGCCTGAAGCCGGTGTGGTGCTGCTTTTTCCCCCGCCCCACGGCTCAGACTTTAACTCCCAGAATGCCTTTTCTCTGGATCCGCCCCCCCAGTTATCATCCAATAGGAAGTCTCGAAACGAAGAAGAGGCGGACCCCACATTAGATTGACCAATAGAAGCCCCAGGCAGCGAGGCCGTTCGACGAGCGATTGGCTCCGCGGGGCTTTGGCGCGCCAGGCCGCCCGCCTTCCCGACTTCCTGCCGCCCAGAGACAATCCCCCCCCCTCCCCTGTCCCCCGGAGGCACTTCCGGCCGTGCGTTCGCCTCCGCCTGCGCGCTCCTCTTCTTAATGGCGGGCGGTGGCTGCTGAGGGGGCACGCCGAGGACCGCGCCGCCAGCACGGGGGAAAGTTTCCCTGCCGCTTCCTCTCCGCTCGCCGCCGGCGGTGCCCCAGCTCGCCAGCATGTCGGTGGTGCCGCCCAACCGCTCGCAGACCGGCTGGCCCCGGGGGGTCACGCAGTTCGGCAACAAGTACATCCAGCAGACCAAGCCCCTCACCCTGGAGCGCACCATCAACCTGTGAGTGCGGCCTGGTCCTGGCGCGCCGGGGCCCGGCGCCGCCCCCGTTCCCCCCACGCCCCTTGCCCCGGCCCCGGCTCCGGCCTGCCGCGCCGCCCGCGCTCGCAGCGCCCGGGAGCGGGTGGTCGGCGGGCGGAGGGGCGCGCGCTGGGGCTGCTGGCTGCTCGCTCCCGCCCGGGTCGGGGCCGCGGGGTCCCCTGGGGTCCGCCCCTGCTCGGCGGGCGTCGCCGGGAACCGTGCTGCTGGTCTCGCGTGGGATGGCGAGGTGCTTGCTGGAGGTCTTTGGCTTGCCCCCCGCGTCCTCCAACAGGTTTCGGGGGGCGTCGGGCGCTGCGGCCCGGGAGGGGGGAGGAGCGACTTGCTCCGCGGGTAGCAACCGCTGCATCCTTGCTTCTCAGGTCATGCACGCGCCCTGGACGCTGGGCACTCAACACGCTTCTTCTTCTTCTTCCCTCGTCGTCTCTGCCACCCCCCTCCCCATCCCCCCCAGAGCTGGGAAGGAGGGTACCAGGTGGTCGCTCTCCCCCCTCCCCCCACTGCTTGGGCGCGGAGGTTTATTATTCGACACCTTTCTTGGCTCTGCCGAAAGCCGGTGCTGTGGCTCGCCGTGCAACGCTCTTGGCGTTGTCGTTCTTGCTCGAGAAATGGATGCTTTTGTATACCGCTTCTGGGAGTACCGCCCGTGGCGTGGCCTCTGTTGTAGGAGAGTGGTCGCTTGCTTGCTTGCTTGCTTGCTTGCTTGCTTTTTTTGGTCACACACAACCAGGCGATGCTCAGGGGTTCCTCATTCCTCTGCAACTCAGGACTCCCGACGGTGCTCCTCCGGGGACCATACGGGATGCCCGGGATTGAACCCGGTTCGGCCACATGCAAGGCAAATGTGCCCTATCCACTGGACTATCGCTCCGGCCCCTCTAGAGAGTGGTCAGTTTCTCCTTGCTGACCGTTGTTCAAAAAGGTGCGAGGTTGACCCCTCGCTGGTGTTTCTTAAGTAGGACACACCCGGGTATTTCTGAGCTTCGCATTCAAATGAAGAGGAACTTTTCCTCCCCTCAAAAGCGATTTGAAATAGAAAAGGTGATTGCAAATTTATCTGGTAAAGTAGGTGTTGGCTTGGAAGTTTGTGATAATAAAAACGTTCTTAGGAACTCTGAAATTACTTGATACTCGTTTTACAAGTTAGTATCTATTACATCAACGTAATAGCATTTTAATTTGACCTGATTTCCTTGCAAAAAAAATTGGGAGAGGGGTTGACATAGCTGTCGGTTCTCAGGGCTGAGTCCTGGCTCTGTGCTCAAGGATCACTCCTAGCAGGGCTGGGCACCCTAAGGGTTGCTGGGGATCCATTCTGAATCAGTTGCATGCAAAGCAAAATGCCCTACCTGCTGTACTATTGCTTCGGCTCCTGAAAAACTATGATAAAAACGGAATTTATAAGAGTGGAAATAACTTGCCTTGCATGCTGTCCATCCAGTTCAATGCCAAGCACGCCTTACCGTAAACACCCGTAGATTCCCACCCAGCTTGACCAGGAGTGGTCCCTGAATGCAGATCCAGGAGTAAACCCAGAACACCACCAGATGTGGCCAAAGCATGCTTGTTAAAGCCTTACCATCGAAGACTTATTGTAAGGCTTATGGTCAAAGCTGGGGAGCATGTGCTGAAATAAAAATATGAGATTTTAACTAGCAGAAAATAGTGAATTGTGCCTTAATTAGGGCTGCTCCTGGAAGCGCTGAGCCTGTCACAGGCTGCTGGTGGTCTGTGCTGGAGAGAGGCCACAGGGGTAGGATAGCACCATAGCTGCACCTCTGTAGCACTGTTGCACTGTCCTCCCATTGTTCATGGATTTGCTCCAGCAGGCCTAGTAACGTCTCCATTGTGAGACTTGTGACTGTGTTTGGCATGTCGAATACGTCACAGGTAGCTTGCCAGGTTTTGCCAGGTGGGAGAGATACTCTCAGTAGCTTGCTGGGCTCTCCGAGAGGGGCGGAGGAATTGAACCCAGGTCGACCGAACCCACTGGGTCGGTGGCGTGCAAGGCAAATGCCCTACTCGCTGTGCTATTGCTCCAGCCCATCTGCACCTTAGAGTGCAGAATTTTTAAGTCAGGTCATTGTACATGTACATTACGTTGTACATGTACATTAAGTCAGGCAATTGTACAGATTTTGCTGTACCATTTAGAGCTTCTTCCAGGCATTGAGGAAGCTGAAATTGATCTGTACTAGGCAAGATGAAAACTGTCTTAAACAGTATGGGCCATATTTTCTATTCTTGATAAAGGAAGAGAGGATATTCAGGTGAGAAGGAAAGTACAAGGATACTGGATGGAATAAAAGCTGCAAATGTAAAAGGTTCACAATGGGGAGAGTTCATTGAAAGAGGAGGAAAGGTGTAATATCAGAAAAGCCTGGTGATCAATAGTTGAATGGGAGAAGTTGAGAATAATTGGAGAGATGATGGAAAGTAGTGATTTGGCTATTAATTGTCATTATTTCCCACAGTTAATAGAATTCTGTTTAGAAAGGATTCTGAAGGACATTTTAACAAGATTAGCATTTGGTAGTACTAACAGATGTGATCAAAAACCACAGGGTTATCAGAAACCTAAACTTCTTCTGTTAGAGGGTACTGTGGGTAAGTCACTTGATTTGCTTGCGCTCTCCAAGGTTCCATCCCCAGAGCCCCAAGTGGTCCCTTCCCTCCCCCAGCCCCCCCAGTGATTCTGGTGCACAGAGCCAGGAGTAAGGTTTGAGCAGCGACAAGTGTGGCCCCAGCTTCCTCGTTTCCCACCCCCAAATAAAAGCCACATCAGTAAGTATTTAAGAGTCCAATGGATAGTGTTACCTATGCATGAAAGTTCCAGTATGGAGTAGCAGCTTATTCTAACAGAAGTAAAGGGTTTAAGAGTTCAAAGAGCTGAATTCTAATTTTTGCTGTCTCAACCACTTGCGTAACGTTGCGTTAATCCCATGTTTCTGAGTATAAACTAGATTCTTTCCACTATGATTTCTTTATCTGAGATTGGTAGCTGCACAGTAAACTGTCCTTATACTAGGTTATTTGTCTTTGGATCACAGGTACCCTCTTACCAATTATACTTTTGGTACAAAAGAGCCCCTCTATGAGAAAGACAGTTCTGTTGCAGCCAGATTTCAGCGCATGAGAGAGGAATTTGATAAAATTGGAATGAGGAGGACTGTCGAAGGGGTTCTGATTGTACATGAGCATCGGCTACCTCATGTATTACTGCTACAGCTGGGAACAACTTTCTTCAAATTGTAAGTGTCTTTGGAAATTAAAGGCAAGACAATTCTTAATAGATAGAACTGCCATTTTATACATCTTTGGAACAATCTAGCTCATAATCATTTAGTTCGACAAATACCAATGAAATCTTTTAGAGAAAATGAAAAATAACTTTTCTCTTGCACAGTGTTCATTTACTACCTAGCTAACCTTCATTTTGATGTCAGTGACTGAGCTTGACTGGGGAAACTAAGAAATCAGTTCAAACTCAACTTGAGATGTCATTGCCACATACTAAGAAAAGTTGATCTTTCCTAAGATGAAGTGATTTTGATTTTTAAAATTGTGTTTTTATAGATAATTGTTTAGTTTTATCGTGTAAACTGATAATTCTTTCATATTACATTCATTGTTTGATAAAACTATATAAAAAGGTGTCAAGTACTTGATTGGATTCTTGAAAAATGTCTCATTTTTGAGACATGAAGAATGTGATCCTTTCCCTTCCTTGATAGAAAAGAGACTGCGATGGACTGATGGTCAGCTGCTCAGTTTTGTTATTCTGCTCAAAACTGGGGAGGGGGGTGTTGTTCTGTTGAATTACGTGATATTTATTTTGTCTTATCGTATCACCCTGAAATGTTAGAAATAACTCCTAATTTTTTTCTATTTTTCCCAAATTGTATTATGTTGAAAGTTGAAATTCTTAACCTTTATACAGACCCGGTGGTGAACTTAACCCAGGAGAAGATGAAGTTGAAGGATTAAAACGCTTAATGACAGAGGTATTTGTCTAACCACTCTTTAACTTTTATTAGGTCCATCTGAATACCAAAAGCTTAATGAATAATTAGACTTAATTATGTTTGTGAAAGGATGTTTTTGAAATATTTAGTTTTCAATAAATAAAACTTAATCCTGAGTATTATTAGTACATATGTTTTCTGCAAGTTGAACCTTATACTTTATCTTTTTTTTTAATTGAAATGTTGATGTGCTTTAATTGTTAACCCTAATGGTTAATTATTTTGTACTTACTGTTAGACACTGTTGGCAAATATTTAACATTCAATAATTCTGTAATCACAACAGCTATAAAAAGTAGATGCAATTATTAATCTTTGCTAATAAGGGCATTGGGGTACAGAAGTTCAAGTAAGTTGCTTGATATTAGACAGATAACAAGTTGTAATGTAAGAAATTTGATTCTTAAGTAGGTCCCCATAGATTTTAGCTAGAGAAAGTTTCTTTTTATATACCTTTATTTGTTTTTGCACATAACTTTTTTTTAAGCTTTGCCTAAGTTACACTGGTTTTTATTTGATATCCTTTTTTTTAAGACTTGAGGACAAGAGTACAGATGAGTCTTTTTGAGATAATAAGATGTTTTAATTAAAATTTTCCTTTTAATTTGTGTTCCTCCTCCACCATAATTTATAAAACTAATACATCTTCTAGCAAAGAATCAAAAACAGAAGGAGAAACAAAATCATCTATAACATAAAATTTAGTAGGAGTAAGGCAGTGCAAGATGAGTACTAGTAAGAAAAGTTTTTAGAGTCTTAGAAAGCATGTCAAAATTGATTTAGCAGAAACCTTGACCAGCACAGAAAAGAAGCCCAGCCCAGGACTGAGAAGTGCTGATGGGCAGGAAGGCTGAGGAATAAGGTGCCAAGTACTTATGAAAGTGAGGCCATAATTAATTACGTGTGGGTTTTTTGTTTTTTTTGTGTGTGTTTTTTTTTTGGCTTTTTGGGGTTACACCTGGCGATACTCTGGTTACTCCTGGCTCTGCACTCAGGAATTAACCTCTGGTGGTGCTCTGGATGCCCTATTCCCTGTACTATCACTTGGGCCTCTGGTGGGGGGGGGGGGGGATGTATTTTTATACCTTCCTGGCTCTTTGCTATTTGGCAGTGAGTTTGGTAATTGATTCTCTGGTAACAATCTCAAAACACTGTGTAGTGAAAAAAGTTGAGATGGGGAGACAGTGAAAATTTATATCCTAAATAATTGGCAACTGTGTTCTACATAATCCAAACTGAAGGTGGCAGTTAAGCATTTTACTACTTTGCATTAATTGTGAACACATAACCAAATATCACTATTTTTTTTGAGAAAGTTTCTAAGAGATAAAGAATCAAAAGAAACAACAGAAATAATGTTTAGCAAGTAGCAAGATTTTAGTTAGCATTCTTGGTTTGATGAAGGAAATTTAATATCTGTGGAACTGTGTGCCATTAAAAGACTGTTCATCCAGAAACTCATGAGAACTAAAAATGTTTGATCATTATATAATCAAATCCAAGCACAAAAATTTGTAAGTCTACAACTGCACCTCATGGTGTTTCACTAATAAAAATTAAAAAAAAAGTTAGCAGATTGAAAAATTCGGTAGACAGTTGAAAATGTAAGTTGAGGAAACCTACCGGAAGGTAAAACCTCTCAGTAACACTGATGGCTTTGAGTAGACCAAGGTGCCAGGTATGACCATGGTGCCCAGTCCAAAACTGCCAGGTTACCCTTATACTTTACATGCCACATTGGTGAGGTGACCCAAGTTAACACCAGTGATTGTTAGTGGTAAGTCATGTTGAGAGAGATGTGCCTTTGACATGTGATGACAGTGGCACGTCTGTGGTATTCCTCCTCAGACTGCATACTGTAGACCAATTGAGGGACAGTCTATAAATGTGAGCAGTATTCCTCAAGGTCATCAGGATAGTCAAAGACGACAGGGAGAGTTTGAGAGACTCTGTCGTGAAGACTGAAGGAGAAATGACAACCAATATGACATTTTAGATGAGATCCCAGACTTGAAACAGAACATTAAGTTAAAAATAAAAACTGGAAAAGGTATGATTTTCAGTAATAATAAAATGCAGTGTTTGGTATTTTGTAAAAAATGTACTATACTAAAATGTTACTAACAGGGGAAATTAGGGGCTGGAGCGAGAGCACAGCAGGTAGGGCGTCTACCTTGCATGCAGCCGACCCAGTTCAATTCCCAGCATCCCATATGGTCCCCTGAGCACCACCAGGAATAATTCCTGAGTGCAGAGCCAGGAGTAACCCCTGTGAATTGCTGGGCGTGACCCAAAAAGCAAAACAAAACAAAACAAAAAAGGGAAGTTAGTGTGGGATATAAACATGCAAGATGGTTGCAACTTTTCTTTAAATCTGTAGCACTGTAGCACTGTCCTCCTGTTGTTCATGGATTTGCTCAAGCAGGCCCAGTAAGTCTCCATTGTGAGACTTGTTACTGTGTTTGGCATAGTGAATAGGTCAAGGGTAGCTTGCCAGGCTTTGCCATGCCAGTGAAACACTCTCAGTAGCTTGCCAGGCTCTCTGAGAGGGGCGGAGGATTCGAACTTGGTTGGGCCGGGTTGGCCGCGTGCAAGACAAACGCCCTACCTGCTGTGCTATCGCTCTTTAAATCTAAAATAAAATAATTTTAAAATAAGAGTATTTTTAAAAAGAGGCAAATGGGGCTGGAGAGCTAGTACAGTGTGAAGTGTGCTTTCTTTGTACGTGGCCAACCCAGGTTGATCCCCAGCATCCTATATGGTCCCCTAAACCTGTCAGGAGTGACTCCTGACTGCAGAGCCAGGAGTAAGCCCTGAGCACTGCTGGGTATGGCCCAAAATCGAAAGGTGTTTCTTTTTTAAATTATTTTTTAAATAAAAATTTTAAAAAGAGATAAATAATGGAGGAAAACAGCTAAGAATTGAAAAATAGAGCCATCAGAAATTATAAATAGGACAGGGGACTGTTTTGCATATTATGAATTTTTGAGCAATTTAACTTTGCTTTTTAAAAAACAAGGTTTTTGCGGGGTGGAGGGGTTGTTTTGGTTTGTTTGTTTGTTTGTTTGTTTTGGGGCCACACCTGTCTGTATTCGGGGTTTACTCCTGACAGTCTCAGGAGAGACCATGTGGGATATTCAGAATACAATCCAGGTCAGCTGTGTGCAAAGCAAGCGCTTTATCCACTGTACTATCTTTTTGGCTCCTTAAAGTTTAATTATTATGTTCTAAGATTCAAAAAATGAAAATTATAAATTTTGAACACTTTCTATAACTTAACCAAGATGGGCAAATTACAGATCTATGATCGGTAGTAGGTGTCATTGACTGGTATAGATAATTGATCACTTTTCTTTTTTAATGCATAGCCAACACCTAAGAAATTGGTTGGTCCTATATAATCCTAAATTTTGAATGCCAGTTTTTCACTAACAGTGTATGTAGGGTAGCTTGTGACACAACTAATAACAAGAAACGATAGGAAATCTGTGTGAATGGCATGCTAGTCCTATTTCTGTTGGGGTGTTGCCACAACTATTCTCTATACATGTATTTCTGGACATGTGTATTTGGTGTCTCATTTTCCATATCGTTTGTTTTTGACAGATACTTGGTCGTCAGGATGGAGTCCTGCAGGACTGGGTCATTGATGATTGCATTGGTAACTGGTGGAGACCAAATTTTGAGCCTCCTCAGGTTAGTGTACACTTTTTCAGGTTATTTGGTAAAGTGATAAACTAATTTCATTTCCTCCATTTAAAAACCTCAGACTTGAGGCTTTTCCCCGGCCCCTGTGTTCTCTCTTCTCTTACTTTTTTTTCCCCCCCTTTTTGGGTCATACTCGGCGATGCACAGGGGTTACTCCTGGCTCTGCACTCAGGAGTTACTCCTGGCGGTTGCTCAGGGGACCACACGGGATGCTGGGAATTGAACCCGGGTCGGCCAGATGCAAGGCAAACGCCCTATCCGCTGTGCTATCTCTCCAGCCCCCCCCCCCTTTACATTTCTCTTTCTGTAAAATTATTTTACTTAAAAAAAATTGTTTTACTTCAAGATAAAAGTTCCGAGTTGGGACTGGTCAGTGGTAGCCAGTGATAGAATGCATGTTCTGATGTGTATGAGGCTCTTTTTGGGTACCCTGCACCTCAAAAAATAAATCAATTGAGGAGAGATTGTTCAAGGAACTGAAACACAGGCTTTGCATATGGAGACCCTGGATTCTGTCTCTGATCCCTTAGCACTGTTGGTGTAGCCCCAGAGGTCCCAGGCACTTCTTGGCCGGCTCTAATAAGAGCCCTGATGACCCGCCAGCAGCACTGAAGCTAAGTAGCATCATGTATCATGTTGCTGGGCTTGAACATTGAACTGTGCTACCTTTTGGACAGGTATTGCTGGGAATGGCCCCTGGGCACTAAATTGATAAATTGAAAGATCATAAAGTAATCTAATCTGAAAAATTCCTTTTTCCCCTTAATTTAGGTAAGAAAGCTAAAAAGCGAAGCTTTTTTTTTTTTCTTTTAAGGAGAAAGGTAAACACAGAATAGTGAAAGTAAAGGAAGCCATTGCCTTTTCACCTTCAGCTGTTAGCAGCTTGTGGTCATATTTCATCAGTTCCTCCACTGCCCCATTTACCCTGACCTTACCTTGGGTTATATTTAATAAATCTTATTCATAATTTTAATTGTGAATATTTTAATGTAACTGTCAGCATCTCCAAAGATAAGCGCATAACCACTGTACTACCGTCATGTAAAAAATAAGAGATAATAGTCATGATACTATTAAATGTGTAGTCACTGTTAACATTCCCAATGATTTCTTTATTAAAAATAAAAATTGTTTGAAAGTTCCCTTTTTTGGGGGGGTGTTTGGCTTGGAGGCCACAATCTAATTGCTCCTGGTAATGGGACCATATGGGGTGCCCAGTATTAAACTTGGGTTGGCTGCATGCAAGGGTAGAGCTACCCACTGTACTATCACTCTAGCTCCCATGCTCCCTTTTTAAAAAACATTTGTTGCCTATTTTTTTCCTTCCTATAGGGTCCTTTGTTAGGAAGCTTGTATAACACTCAGTACCTGTGAATTGACTTTAAGAAAATCAGGTTCACTTAGATGTGTTGACATTTCCAGTGCAATGATACATTTTTAAAAGTACTGTAAACATTTTAAATTTTCTCTTTCATTCTTTGATGTAACTGAAAAATGTTTAGTAGTAGCCTAAATACTTTCACAATATTTTCTTAATATCTTCCTTTGCCTTACATACTACGGTCTTTGACCATTTCCTGAATTCTCTGAAAACTAGGTTTGGCCCCAGTAGTGTATTGTGATTTCTTTTATAGGCCTGGGCTCTTGATTAGGTATCAAAGGGGAAAGACCACAATTCTTATCTCCCTGTCTTGGGCATTTTATATGAAATGCAGTTGGCTTAAAAGCAAACACCAAAAGGAGAATTATAGAAGAGATGTAATAGAAAAAGAAACTTAGCCTTGAGAAAAGAAATTAGGGGCTGGAGTGATAGCACAGTAGGTAGGGTGTTTGCCTTGCATGCGGCTGTCCTGGGTTCAATTTCCAACATCCCATATGGTCCCCCTAGCACCTCCAGGAGTAATTCCTGAGTGCATGAGCCAGGAGTAACTCCTGTGTACCGCTGGGTATGACCCAAAAAAGGAAAGAAAGAAAAAATTAGGAAAATGCTGGTCATTTGGTTTGATCATTCTTTGGAAAGTTGTGTGATATGTGAGCCATACTCTTCAAGTTACTTGTCCCTTTGTCTTTCCTTGGTGTTCCAGCATCTGGTTTCATGAAGCTTGTTCAAGGGAATCTCCAAGCCCTGGGAATTGTTTTGATTCATTGTACCTGAGGGATGTGCTGATACATACTTGAAACTGGGATACTCACTAGGACCATGGGGAAGTTTAGTGAAAACAGTAGAAGAATAGATACAATTTTATCCTGACTTCACATCTTGGGAAAGATACCTAGTCTCCAATAAAAGTTTCTTACTCCAGGTTGGGGATAAAACCTTTTGGCTGCCTCTGTTTAAAAGATCTCGCCCTCTTCTGCATTTTTGTGAAAAGATACAGAAAAATTTTTATTACATGTATACAAGGAGAACAGTGGTAAAAAATACCTATCTTCTAAAATATGCAGTGTCAAAATTTTTTTTCAGATAGCTGCCTCTCTTCTCTAGTTCTCTTTATCCCTTTTAAGTTTTTCAAAATAATTTTTCCATTTTCCTAAGCAATTGGACACTGTAGCTGGCAGAATTCCACTCAGACTTGTTATCTCAGTCCAGAAGCATGAGTTCAGTGTGGCTAGGGAGAGAAGTATTTTGTTAAATTCCACGCAAGCTGTATTTGTACTTCCAGTATTGCAAACATGTCCACATCAGATTCTAGAAATTTTAATTTAGTGATATATTTGAAAATAACTTACTAAATCACGTGCCAATATTGGGCTTAATGGTGTTATAAATCCTGTGACTGCTTATATGTCTAAAGTGGTTGAATGGTTTATAACAGTTTTAAGTTTATTAAAGCATTTATAACATTTCTTAGGTGCTAATTTCTGGTAAAGACTACAGAAAGATTACTATATCTTCCAGCAGTTTATAATTCATTGAGTAATTAGCCTATAAAGGAAGTAAATGAAGCATTAAGATGCATACTAAAATTGTGTTGGGGACATTAGACTTGGTATAAGTATGGTTAATATTTTTGAGCTTACTGTCTGAAATCAGTTAAGTAGACAAATAGAGACAGAGGTATAAAGTTTTGGCAACTAAAAATTTTTATTTGTTATTTTAGTATCCATATATTCCTGCACATATTACAAAACCTAAGGAACATAAGAAGTTGTTTTTGGTTCAGCTTCAAGAGAAAGGTAAGTTACTTCATTTTTGAAGGAGACTTCTAAAAACTTTATACAGTCATTTCAAGGATGCCTCTAATTGTATTTTCTCCAGGTTCCTTTAATTTTTATATGGAATTATCTAATTTATCATAAGTATGCCGCTCATAGGAGGAAAGTAATTTTAACTAGAGCCTATGTGCCAGATTATACTGTTTGATTTTAGGTTTTGGGGCTATACCTGGCTATCCCTTTCCTTTCAGCACCAGCACTTTATAGAGTGCTCTGGGTTGTTAACAGCCTAGTTCTTTTTAAGAGAGTTTTATATGGTTTTTGGACCACACCCAACAATGCTCAGGGCTTATCCTTGGCTCAAATTCAAGGATCACTCCTGGTGGGGCTCGGGATTGTATTTGGTGTGGGGGATCTAACTGGTTGACCACATGCAAGGCAAGTGCCTTAAATCTGTGACTATGACTTTTGTTTAAAAGACAAGGCCACATAATATCTTTTTTGTTTCCCCAGAGGTAGGGGGTTGGGAGCGGGGAGGCAACACCTGGCAGTACTCCAGGCTTATTCCTGGCTCTGTGTTCAGGGATTGCTCCTGGCAGGACTTGGGGAACCATTGGTGGTTCATACTTGGTCATCAAGCCTGCGTTAGCTGCATGCAAGGCAAGCATCCTAATCTCTGGCCCTCATTATATGAGTTATCTTTTTACCCAAAAGTTCCTCAAATATTAAGTTGGCGGTTACTTTTAAAAGGAAGACCCTAGAAGGTAGGTATTACAGGAGGAAAACCAATTTGCTGTATACAGTCAACCTCAGTTGATCCCAGCACCATACATGGGCACTTGAGCACCACTAAGTGTGACTTCTTCCGCAAATAAATGGAGGGGTCTAGTTACATGGCTCCCACATATGAGAGATGTTAGAGAAAGGGTTTATTATTTAAGAATTAATAGGAAATGAATATTGTTTTGTTCTATTTAGCCTTGTTTGCAGTTCCTAAGAATTATAAGCTGGTAGCTGCGCCATTGTTTGAATTGTATGACAATGCACCAGGATATGGACCTATCATTTCTAGTCTTCCTCAGCTTTTGAGCAGGTAATGGAAAATTGAACATTTATGGCTAATTCACAGACTGTCAGATGAAAGGTTCCAAGTCATCTAGGGACTTGTTCATGACTTGTGCTCTTAAGGAAATGAGGACAGGAGATGGGCCCTTCTGTCAAGTACTTTAATCTCTAACTGATTGAAAGTTATCCCAAACCCCACTGAAGCATTTTCTGGTATTTGTACTCTTCTCCAACTCTGATACTACCTACTGAGTTGAAGTATTTATTCAAAGAAGAGGTGATACAGTCAGCAGTATATAGTAAATATAAGGAGTGTTTGCTATGTCAATGTGAATTAAATCTCTTATATTCTCTTTCCTTTGTGGTATATATGGTAAAATTGATCCAAATTGTGGCATGTGAGATTAAGCAAGTTTTTACAGTGGGGTTTTTTTCTTCTAAGCACCTAGAGGAATGAGAAAAATGGGATGGGAATGGGAAAAAATTCAGGTTTTTAGAATAGCATGTAAAAGAAATTACAGACTACTTGAGGCTATTAAGAATACAGTGTTACTGTATTCTATAAATTGTTTAGATTTATTTTCTATCTTTAACACCTTCTTAAACCATCACCTCAGACAAATGATTGTACCTTATTAACCTATTTCTTTATTTGTAAGAGAAGACGGTAGTCCCCACTTCAGGCCATTGTGAGGTCCAAGTGAAAGAAAGCATGCAAAGTTCTTAGAATAGTGCCAGTGGTGTTTAAAAGTTGTAGTTTAAAAGCAATTTCATGGCTGCAGCAAGGCAGTCGCCCTGCCTGCTGTACTATCTTTCTGACCCTATGAATACTGTTGTCAGTAATTTTTTTTTCTTTTTAAAATTCAGGTTCAATTTTATATACAACTGAAGACCTACGCAGTGGAGAAGTCAAAGAAGTGGCCTCTGCAAGCACAGCTGTACACAGTGTAGATTAAATTCCATAGACGTGGTTTTGGTTTTATCTTTCTTGATCCCTAACTTGACACTGACTCCTTGTTGGATAGTAAAGTTAATATGAACAACTAGATAGTGGTGTAAACAAATGTGATTATGTTTATTTTTGGTTTTACCTATATTTTTTTGTACTACATTAAAGAAAGTGGACTTCTATTTGTTATTATCTTTTTTTCCTATTTCACATTAAGCTTATAAAACTCTTACGGGTGAGGATGATAAATTTTCCCTTCCTAGGCTGGTGAATGAGAGTGACACATTTAGATCAGTTAAGCATCTGGGACCCTTGCTCCAATGCCTTTCTTGCAGGTATACTGCAAGACAGTGTTAAGATCTTGTGATGAGATTCTTCTGCTTTTTTAGAGATTTGCTTGATTGAGACCAAGGTGCAGCTCCTAGTATATTACTGGTTGATAACATTTTAAACTGGTATGTCAAGACCCTAGCTAGGAGAATTAATGCATTGAGATTAGTCAGCAAAATTGTGGGAATTGGTGTAAGAGGTGACTCATCTAGAACTCAGAATGAAGACGTATTTTCCTTTACATGAGGATATTATTTGTCCTGTTGTGAAATTCTGTGTTCTTATTTTTAGTGATGTAGTAAAGTGATATGTGAAGATAAATTCTAAAAGTGGGTTAGGTTTTTAGTTCAATTGGCAATTCATAAAGATGAATATTTTGGTTTTAGCAGGTTATTTGTAAAGCGAAATCTTTACAAAATAAGTTTGTAATGTGAGTCAGCTGAAAACTAAAGGTAAAGTAGTGGTTACATTTTGAAAGCCTAGACAGAAATGTCAAATTAAGCAATTTTAAAACACTATTAGGAGTAAGTTTGGAGGAATAAGAATAATCTTCAGGCAAAGTAGTTTAACGTTAAGGATACCATATAATGTAAGATGCAGTGACAAAGAAGAGAGGTTGGTTTAGTTGTTCTTAATAGAAATGAATGAATGATTATTCTTTTTTATGGTGTTGATCACAAGAATAGTCTCTTGAATATTGGATTATGTAAAGGTATCGTTTATTTTTCCCTTTTTAGATGAAAAATTCGACCAAGAATAATTAAGAGACTAAGCATTCAAGAGTGTTTAAAGTCCTGCTAAATCTATAGTTAAACGATCCAGTGTATTCTTACTGGGTCTGTGCATAGTAATGGTTTAGTGCAGGTGATCAAAACTGATTTCCTTTGAGAAAGTCCCAAGTTCCCTGGATAGCCCTCTTCCCTTAAGGGCCAAGAGTACTTCCCTCTCTGGTTTACACTACAGTATAATTTTCTGGTGAGCTTATTAGCTGAGTTTGTATTGGAGAAGAAAGAGAGATGGAGATGCTTGATCCTGCTCATTTCTCAGTTAAAAAGCTACAGTGAACTACATTGCTGATGTTTCGACTTTTGCTGTGTGAGAGAATGGAGAAAGGATCGAGTTTCTTGGTCTGGTTTATAAAGTGCACTCCATAAGGAGAATCTGAGTTGTCTTCTAATTTGAGGTTGCTTACGTCCTTAGTATATTAACCTAAAAGTGCTTGATTTAGAAATGCTTCTTTTTTGAGAAAAAATTTATTGAGAAACCATGAATTACGAAGTTATTCACGATTTTTAGGGGTACAGTGTCAACACCGTCCTTTCACCTGTGGCCACTTTGCTCTACCAAGTCCCCAGTTAACCTCCTGCTCCCATCTGGTCTCTGGCAGGCACTTTTTCTCTTTTGCCTTTAAGCAACATGGTTTACAATAATGTTACTAATAGGGTATTATGCATAATCTTTTCCTCCTTTCAGCACCCAATCCTAGTGTAGAGTGACTGCTTCCCTGGGTCATTGTCGTAACAGTTCCTTCCTGGACTTATCCCACTTCCCCTCACAATGGCAAAATTCCTACTATGGACCTGTTCTCTTGCTCTTTATTTCTATTGCCTTTGGGCATTATTTATTTCCCTATTGTGTTTCTTTATATCCTGCAAATGAGTGAGATCTTTGCCTTGTTGCTTTCCCACTATTTCGCTTAGCATACTCTAGATTCATCCATGCAAGCAGCAATTTGCACTTCATCTTTTCTAACAGCTGTGTAGTATTTCATTGTATATGTCAATAGCTTTTTCCATCCAGTTCTTGAGTTATTGCCACATTTTGCCTATTGTGAATAATGCTGCAATGAACAGAAGAGTGCAGATATCTTTTGTGCATTATTTTTGATCCCTCCCTTGGGTTATATTCCTAGGAGTGGAGTTGCTGGGTCATATGGAAGCTCAATTCCTAGTTTTTTGAGGAATGTCCGTATTCCAAAACCAGTTGACATTCCTACCAACAGTGAATGAGGGTCCTCCTTACACCCACCCAACGCCCACACCAACACTGGTTGTTCTTTGTGGTGAGTGCCAGTCTCTTTTGTATGAGGTGATATCTCATTGTTTTGATTTGCATTTTCCTGATGATTAGTGATAGAGAACACTTCTTGATAATGCCATTTGGCCATTTGTATTTCTTCTTTGAGGAAGTTTTTGTTTTCTCCATTTTTTGATGGGGTTGGACTTTTTTTTGTAAAGTTCTACCAGTGCTTTATATATTTTTGATTTTTTAACTCTTTATCAGATGTGTGGTGGGTAAATAATTTCTCCCAGTCTGTGTGCCGTCTTTGTGTTCTGGCCTTCATTTTCTTTGAGGTGTGGAAACTCTTAATGTAGTCCCATTTGTTGATCTTTGCTTTCCACTTGTGACGTTTCATCCTCAAAGATGCCTCTAGTAGAAATGCTTTCTTAATCTCTAGTAGTTACTCCTACACTAAGACCTAGGTGAGAAAAATCATATTTTATATATAAGTTGACAAGATTCCTAACTTGGAATGTAAGAGATCAGTTTTGAATATAAATTCAAAGAAATCTTTGAGACTGGTTTTGAACTGGTCAGTTACAGTTGTACCTTAATAGTTTCTTATTGCAGGTTTCCTGATCTAATTAAAAAACTAGGGAAATTCAGATTTGACTAGATACTACAGTTATCAGAATTGGGTACAAGGGTTAAAGTAAAGGTCACACTTCACGAGCCAACAGTCAAACTGTGCATTCCAATCCTCTGTATACTAAAGCAGCTGTTTTCAGATGAGTTCTTGGTTAGCAGACATTGTTAATGACTTTTAGGTTCCCAGTTTGATTGTAAATGATAATCCCTTTGGCTTTAAAATATGCCATGTTATTTTTCCCTGAGTGATACAAGCAGTATATACTCTTATAACTCTATAGAATATTGGAAAATATTCTATATATTGGGGGGAGGAGTTTTTACTGAAATGATTTTTGTGTGTGATTCTGGGCCTCATTGAGAGGCATGTACTCCCCACTGAGCCACATTGCTGGTCTCATCAAATATTTAAACTGCATTTATGATTGACAGCCCTATAGAAATGGAGAAAATTTCCCTAAATGATAACATGATTTTCACCATTTTAAAAATGTTTTAGTTCTGTATGTGAATTTGTATTTTTATCATGAATTTTATAATCAGCATTAATTACAAGGTTCAAAGTCAGTATTTAAGTAAAACCACCATAATACTCGGTCTACTTTCTAGTATTTTTAATTAGTTGTGAAAAGTAGAGGTTCCTCAATTCAGCTGACCTATAAAACAATCAGTTTAAAAGTTCCATTCTTAAAGCTGACTCTCAATCTCCCGAGTAAGTAGTGGCTTTATTTTTATGAAAGTATCTGCTCACTTGAAATGAAATGCTTGGAGGAGTAGTTTATCTACAGAAAGGTCCTTAAGCTTACTACCTATCAAACTACCAATTCATAGTGTTGGAACACCTTATGCTGATCACCATCATTAAGACTACTTCTGGGAGTACGCAGCTTTGTATAGCATATTTCCAAAGAAGACTTGGTTTTAACTGCGGTATAAGTCAGCTTCTGTAGCATGAGATTTGATATCTAATAATTATTTTACTTGTTGTACATCATTATTTGGGCCCAAATGGACTGATTTCAAGCAGTATACCTTTATTCAATTACATGAGAGAAACAATGCTGTAATTTGACTTGTCAAAAACTTTCATATTGACTCAAATTATATTAATCAAATTTGTGTTTGTGGAAAAAACAAAAAATAGACTGAAGCCTAAATCCAGATTAAGCCAGTTAAGCTGGAATTTGTATTTTACTGAGATTGTATAAAAGTATATTGAATAATCTGTTTGAAGGAAAGATGAGTGCATTTACAGACACTTTGGTTAATGCATTCATATAGTGTGATCACTTATAGTTTGACTTTCAGAATTTTCTTGGCATTACGTTTATAGAAAACGTATGATAAAAGATAGCTGTTTGAAGTTTTGGTTATATTTTTATATTTGTAAAGTAACTGTTTGATTAAAATGGTCACTGTTTTGTTTTTTAATTGTCATTTCAATAAAAAAATTAAAAACTAGTAACATTGTGCCTGTGGCTGCTAACCTTAGCATGCCTAATTGGAAATTCTGCAGGTTTTCAGTGCTGGGGTCATAAGTAAGAAGCAATCTGGCAAGAGCTTTGAAGTCTGCCACACACTACCAGTGTAGCCCTTCCCTCCCATTCCATTGTTCTCAGGCAATAGGTTCTTATTTGTCAGGGGCTGGGGAAGTAGAGCGTCTCTGGATTTGGATCCTGAAGACAGAAGTTGTCACACAATTGTCTTACTGTGTGTTTAAGGTTCTATTACGAGAATTTGGCATCCTCCTATAAATAAGAGTGTTGGCCCCTCCTTTTACTTTCTCAAGTTTGCCTCAAATTCCTGGCTCTGTGCTTACACTTTATATGTGCAGTATCATTCCATCACTTTAGACAGGGACAGTTTGTCGAAAATACGGGAATATTTATGTGTAACGAAACCATATTTTGGTCTTGAGGCTTTGTTCCTGAACAAAAACCCTGATAACACTAGTAGCTTTTCTGAAATTTTTTTTTTTGAGGGGTGGAGGGTTGGGGGCCACTCCCAGCGATGCTCAGGGTTATTCCTGGCTCTGTACTCAGGAATTACTCCTGGCAGTGTTCAGGGGACTGTATGGGATGCTGGGAATTGAACCCAGGTTGGCCGCGTGCAATCTCCAGCACCAAACCTTTAAGGTTTTAATAAGATAAAAACTGTAGAAGGGCTGGAGAAATAGTATTTTAACAGTTAATGTGCTTGCCTTGTACACACCTGACCTGGGTTCGATTCCCACCCTATATGGTCTTTGGAGCCCATCCAGGAGTAGGTCTTCTGAGCCCATCCAGAGCCAGGAAGAGTAACTCCTGAGCATCACCTGGTGTGACCCAAAAAACAAGAACAAAAAAGTGACCTTGCAGAGTTGAACTCACCTGCTTTCATGTTGACTCTTTAGAAAGTACAAACTACTACAAGTGTCATATCTAGACTCTAGTTTTTGTGTAGACGAAACCAAGAACAAAAAGTTTCTATTAAACAGAATACTTAACATTTGTTTTTTGTGAAGATTCAGTGGTTATTTCACGGTATAATTCAGGAAAGTATATAATGGGCCTGAGTTGGAGCTCATGCTTTGCATGTGGGAAAACCAGACGTGATTCCTAGCACATGTTCCCCTTAGTACCACCAGGGAGTGAGTGATCCCCTAGTAATCAAGGTGGAAGCATCACCAGGTAAGGCCAAAATAACCACATAAACCCCAAATTAGTACACATTGGGAACAAGGGTAGATCTATATAGCAGTCTTTATGGGAATAAGATGCATTTAGCATGTTTTTGTAATGACTAACTTGGATCGAATATGGATCATTTACTGTGTTTTAAAAATTATGGGAACTCAAAACTAAGTAACACTTAATTGGGAAATAACCGTTCTCATGTTTTTCCAAATAAAGCTTTATTTTTTTTAATTGAAAGTTTACTTTTTTAAAAAAAAAAAAAGCCTGTGGTGTTTGAGGGTCAGTCCCATGGTGCTCAGGGAGCCATGCAGTGTCAGAATCAAACCCGGGGCCTCCACACATAAAAGCCATATCTCCCGCTCCAGAAAGTTTCGCATTTTAATCAAATGACTATGGGTAGAGAACTAAAGGGTGTTTAAGTCTGTAGACCTATTAACATGTGACGCGACTGTGTCCCCAGGGGGACTGGAGGTGTATCCTAGTGGTAAAGTGCAGGTGTGGCCTTGGTTCAATAACTTGAGTAACACCAAAAAAGAAAACATAAATCCGGATTAAATCAAGTCCCTTTTACATCTTTACCTACTTCTCTGTCATCACAGACTTTAATAGTGTGTTTCTATAAGTTCCTAAGTAAATGACAACCTTGCAAAAAGAAAGCAAGCTCAGCAGAGTTCCACAGACCCAGTGTGTGCACTGCATGAGGGAGGTATAGTTTGAGGAATCTGGCACTGGGCTGGAGAGAGAGTACAGCAGGTAGGACACTTGTCAAGTATGTGGTCGACCAAAGTTTGATGCCCAGCACCCCAGATGGTGCCCTAAGCACCACCAGAAGTAATTCTGAATGCAGAACCAGGAGTTAGCCCTAAGCATGGTGAGGTGTGTCCCTGAAACAAGAAAAGGAATCTGGCACTATAGTGTCCCTTGAGCCCTATAAAGATAGTGCAGAGAACAGAGAAGCCTGAAAGACATAAAATTGAGGATAATTTACTCCTTTTGAAACTCGTAAGATTTAACAATTACTGTGCTGCTACTACTAGTACAGGTCTTAGGGATATATTGAATGAGGGATCTTATGATTGCCTCCCAAAGGTAGCACTTTTCATTTACTTTTGGAGGTGTGGGGAGGTGGGGGGGGGACAGTTTTACTGATATAGAACTCTTTAAGTGTACAAATTGTTTTTTAATACATTCAGTTGTGCAGCCTTCAAAAATTTATGACACTTTCATACTCTAAAAGAAATCTGTGTGGGCCTGAAGAGTAGTAGTACAGTAGGCCAGGTACCTGCCTTTCACGTGGTTGACCCAGGTTTGATCCCTAGCATCTCATATGGTCCCCTAAGCACTGACGGGTGTGAACCAAAAACAAAAATAAAAAACAAAAAATGTTTGACACCCCCTCCACCACCTTTCTCATTTTAAGAAATGAATGTACTGTTTCTACATATGTATCCATTGGGGAATTTCATTCAATGGAATTGGTCTGCACTGTGGTTGTCTTCACCTGGCATGCTTTCAACCTTTACATTAAGAACTTCATCTTTATGGGTTGAAGGGGAGGGGAACGTTATCCGCAGTAGGGTTGGCTCTCTCTTTGGGAGGTATATTTTCCCTTCGATCTCCAACTGTGAATGGAACTGTTAGGTCCAATGGTCACTCTCCCAGTCTTAACATCTGCAGAACACGTTTTTCTAAAGTCTCTGCATCCTTTTACACGGTGTCTTTGGGGACACGTTTTTCGTCTCCCATCAGAGTTGTTTCACAGTGCTGAAGGGTTCTGGTGAACAACAGAAAGTTAAGATCACATTATTGACAGGAATCAAGGTCGGATCCCTGTTCTTTCTTGGGAGGGCAGGGCCTCAACTGTTCCAGGGGAGCTCAGTGCTCATTGGTTTAAGGTAAGTGCACTATAGCACTGTCCTCCCTTTGTACATCGATTTGCTCCAGCAGGCACCAGTAACGTCTCACAACAAATTGTGAGACTTGTCACTATGTTTGGCATATGGAATACGGGTAGTTTGCCAGGCTTTGCCATGTGGGCGAGATACTCCCGGTAGCTTGCTGGGCTCTCCGAGAGGGGTGGACGAATCGAACCCGGGTCGCCTGCCTGCGTGCAAGGCAAATGCCCTTACCCGCTGTGCTAAGGCAAGTGAAATAGAATAAATGGACAGGTAGGTGAAGGCTCTTGCCTGGCACACACGGGACCCAGGGGTGGATCCCCATCCCCCTGACACTGCCAATAGTGGTCCCTGAGCTCTAGTAGAGCCGGCCCTGAATACTGCTGGGTGTAGCCCCCAAACCGAGAGAGAGACAGAAACAGGGACAGAGGAGGCGGGGAGAGGAAGGCAGGTGGGAGAGAGGGAGGGAGGGAAGGTAGGAGAGAGAAAGGAGAGAAAAAGAAAGGAGAGAGGAGGGGGGAAAGAGAGGGAGGGGGGACGGGGGTGGGGTGGGGGGAGAGAGAGAGAGACAGTGGGAAGGAGGGAGGAAGACGAGAGGGAGAGGAGACAGAGCGAGGGGGAGGAGAGACCGACAGTGAGTAAGAGAGAGGAGAGAGAGCACCAGGGCGGGCGCGATCCAACAGCGGGCGGGCGAGGCGCTCGCCTGCCACGCGACAGACCCCGGGTTCGATCCCTGGAACGCCCCCCGCCCCGGTCTCCCAGCACCACCAGCAGCAGGGCCGCTTCCCCGGAGCACGGCGCCGCCGGGAGCGGGCGCGCAGCCCGCCGTGGCCCCCGCACGCCGAGACAAACACGGAGCGCCGGGGGCGGCGGGCGGCGGCTGCGGGACGAGGCGTCCGGGGCCCGCCCGTGCGCGCCGCGGGGCCGGGCCGGGCCGGGCCGCCGCCGTCGCCGGCCTGCTGCGGAGGATGCCGGGCGCGGGCGGGCGGGCGGCCGGGGCGCGGCGGCGCGGCGGCGGCGGCGGCGGCGGCGGCGAGGGGCGGGGGCCGGAGGCCGCGCCCCCGCGCCCGGCCCGCGCCCGCCGAGGCTCTTCCGCGCCGGCAGGGGCAGCAGCGGGAGCGGCGCGGGGCGGAGCGGCGCGAGCGGCCTGGAGCGGCCCGGCCCGGCCCGGCGCGGCGGCGGCGGCGGCGTTAGCGGCGGCCACGCCAGAGCCCGGGGGCGCCGAGCGCGAGGCCGCCGCGGGGGCCCGGCCGGCGCGCGGGGACGCCGCCTCGGCCGCCATGCCGCTGCTCTTCCTCGAGCGCTTCCCCTGGCCCAGCCTGCGCACCTACGCGGGCCTCAGCGGCCTGGCCCTGCTGGCCACCATCGTCAGCGCCTACCGCGCGCTCCGCCGGCCCGACGCCGCCGACCCCGAGGAGCCGCTGGCGCCGCCCGAGCCCCCGGAGCCGGGCGCGAGCGCGGGGGGCCCGCGGGCCCGCGACGTGGCCCAGTACCTGCTGTCCGACAGCCTGTTCGTCTGGGTGAGCCGCCGCCGCGGGGGTCGCGGGGTCGCGGGGTCGCGTGGGAGGGGGCGTGGGGGCGTGGCCGGGCCTGCGACCTGCCCTCCCCGCCCCCAGCCCCCGGGGGGCGTGAGGGGCGGCTCGGGGCTCGGGGCCGCGAGCGGCGCCTGAGGGGAGTGCCGAGGGGCTGAGTCGAGCTGTCCGGGGCCGCCCGGAAGCGGACGGAGGCCGCGCGCGCGCGCGCCTGAGGGGAGCCGGGGCGCCGTTCCTGACGGAGGAGGACGGGGACCCGCCGCGGAGGGTGGGCGCGGAGACCCCCCCCCCTCCACCCCGCGGCGCCTGAGGGAAGCCGGAACGGCCATTCTGACGGAGGGTGGGCGCGGGGACCCCCCACCCGACTCCGCGGCGGCTGAGGGGAGCCGGGGCGGCGTTTCTGACGGAGGGACGGGGCCCCGCCGCCCGGGGGGTTGCCCGCGGGGGGCGCGAAGACCCCGAGCCCGGAGCGGCTGAGGGGAGCCGGGGCGGCGATTCTGACGGACGGAGGGTGGGCGTCGGGGGCTCAGGAACCCCCCACCCCGCGGCGGCTGAGGGGAGCTCGGGACGGCGTTTCTGACAGAGTGACTGGCCCCCGGCGGCTCCCCCGAGCTCACCCCCTCGCCTCCTTCTGAGGGGGCCCCTCAGAGCCCGCGGGTCCCCCGAGAGCGCGCGAGGGCTCCCGAGGCGGCTCCGCCCGCAGTTCGGCCGGCGCGTGGGTTTCCGTCCTCTCAGGGCTCCCCTCAGAGCCGGGGCCGGGCCGGGCTCTCCGCGGGCATAGGCCGGGGCGCGAGAAGAGGCCGCGCCGTCGGTTGCCACACGGCGGCCGCGCTCGGGCCGGGCGGAGGCCGGACTTGCCCCCCCCCCCCTCCCCTCAGGAAAACGGTCCCCACACTGGGCTCTGGGAGGTTGTGTTTTATTTATTTATTTATTTATTATTATTATTTTTTTTTGCGAGGTCTCGCTGGCTTGCACACTTCTTCTTCCCCCCCCCCCCCGCCCCCCCGCCGCCAGCTCCGGGTCCGGCCAGAGAGTCAGAGGCTGCAAATGACGCCTCGATTCCTCACCCGCCCGCATTGGTACCCGGATTCCCCAACTCATTTGTTGTAATTGCTCCCCCCGGTGCTCTCAGTCAGGAAGCCCTGGGATTTGTGGGAAGCTGCGGGCGGCTCCTGGGGGGGGGGGGTGTGAGAGGTGGATTCCATTCCTCTGCACCGGTGCTCCCTGTTTGATTTCTTGGGAATAAATGTGAAATAAATGTGAAATCAGGCGGGGCGGGGAGCGGAGGGGAGCACGGAGCCACACTCGGAAGTGCTCAGGGATTGCTTCCTCCTGGCTCTCTGCTCAGGGATTATTCCGGGGAGTGCCCAGGGTACCATATGGAATGCCAGGTGTTGAACCAGGGCAGAGGTGTGCAAAGCAAGCACCTGAACCTCTGCACTTACTGCCTCTCGGGCCTTATTTATTTTTTTGCTTTTGATGAGCAGGTTCACAACTTTTAAATGGTGTAGAAGGTGTCTTTACCAGATGTTAATAGTCTTTTATCCTCACAGCAGAGCCTGGCAAGCTCCTCGTGGCATATTTGATATGCCAAAAACAGTTAACAAGTCTCACAATGGAGATGTTACTGGTGCCCACTTGAGCAAATCGATGAACAGCGGGAGGACAGTGCTACAGTGCATATATTGTTTATAACAAATCTTTGAGAGACACTGTGGTTTTTGATGATCCTGCAGTTTATTCTTACAAAACTCCTTTTCAGATTTCAAAGTTACTATCGCTTGATAAAACATTACATAAAGCTAGTAGACTTTTCTGAGAAAATTCTTCTAAAGAACATTTCCTTTCCTTGCCAGCTTTTTAGAGGTAGAGGTCTTGTTTCCTGCCAGTTTCCTGTTTCTTGCCTATCTGTTGATGTTTTCCTTGCTCAGTGGATCTTCTTACCATTTTTCTGCGTATACGGTATAAAAACCTCGTTTCTTTGGTTTTTATACTTTGATCTTGGCCTTTCTTGGGTTCTTGGCTGTCAGGGGTGTGCACTCTTTTCCTCACCACTCAGTCGGTACCTAGTTTGAACTTTAGTAGAGGAGTTGGAGACTCCAGCCCAAACACCTCCCCTGGTGGCCTGACAAGGGGGCGTTAAAAAAAGATAGGTAGCAGATCTTTGTTAAATGAATCATTTTTTGCATCCTGCCCAAAGATCATTTAGGTGGAGAGAGTATAGCAGATAGGGTCCTTACCTTGCCCGTAGCCAACCCGGGTTCAGCCCCTGACACATACGGTCCCCCAAGCTTCACCAAGGAGTGATCCTTGAGCGTAGAGCCAGAGGTAAACCCTGAACATCTTTGGGTGTAGTCTAGAAACAAGAAGACAAAGATTCTTCCTCTTCCCCCACCCCCCAATAAAACCAAGTGAGACAGAGCAAAAGCTCATCTTTTTGGCAGTTAGTAAATCCTGTTTTTATTTGCAAAGTGAGACTCCCCAGAACATTGATACAGCGCGAGGTTTCCCAAAGTGTGTGATGCTGCCCCGCTTCAGGGCCTTGGAAATATCTGTGGGGGTCAAAGTAGCAATGGGGAAATGCTTTCTGTTTGCTTTATAAGGTAAATTTTCAGGGGTACACTTTTTTAATTCTGGAATGGGGCCAGTAGGTGTTTGGGAACCTCTGATGTTGAGCACAGTTAGACTCTGCTTCTCAGGATGTACCTTTTTGTTACCAGCCAAAGAAGTCTGTTGGGCACTGTAGAGGGTATAACTGTGCGTACTTCTCTTCCCCTCAAACCAGTCAGTATACAGAGAGGCAAACTTGGATAAGTGACAGTAGATGCATAAAGAAAGTAGGGTGCAGTCTGGGGGAAAGAGAAAAGGATGCCTGGAGAAGGATACATGGAAAGTGATAATTTGCATTCCACCTAGGAAAATGGGAGGGATTGTGACAAGTGGCAAAGTTGGTTATTCTTGGGCAGAGAGCTTATGTCTCTCCTGCTTCGGACAGAGGGCAATGCAAGCAGGCTCCTAGCTGTCCACACTGGCTGGTCAGTGAAACTCACTTGTCAAGGTACATTTCTCAAAGAGATCCTGCCCAAGACCAAGATCCACCAGGAGATCCTGGTGACCTGTGCTTATAACCTGTGGTGCTTGCAATAATGTAATTTCTAAGGCCCTACTCAGGGATTAATGCTACCCAGGGGTTAGATTTGGGGATGGATCATTGGAATTTTTATTTTTATAGTGATTTTAGGCACACTGATGATTGAGAAACTGATTAGGGAAAAGTTAGAGTAAGGGGTGAAGGTCAGATTATGTAAATGGAACTTGCTCTGCTAAGGAGACACATTATTTTGTGGGCTGGAACGTTTGACATGAAGTGGAAAGGCAGAGTCCCTATCCTGATGAGTAAGGTGTTCAGAGGACAGTCTCTGAGAGCACCTGCAAAGACGGATTTATGTAGTAGAATGGGAATCAGCCAGAAGGTGTGGTAATATACCACAAAGGCACCTCACCAGTGACCCTCCAGCTTGGACTGGTACCAAGTGACACCCTAGGCTCCTGACACCAGGTTTCATATCATTGTTTCTTTAGCTTTTCCTAGGCTTTAATTCTAAAATTCTGCCCCAGATCAGGTTTTATTCATTTCTAGGCTTATTTCAGTTATTCAGATGTCCTTTCCATGAAAATAACCTTTGGTTCATTCTGTCATTGTTGAGACTCGTTCAGATAGTTTAACATTTTTTTTTTTACTTCTTCATTGTTGCTTATTATTTTCACTCCTCTCTCCTTTCTCCTATGTAGATTTACTTCTAAAATTGTCAGAGTAGGAGATGCTTAAATGGAGGGACAGAAAGAAGAAATAAAGTGTTTCAGTTCTGACTTAACTGTATGCAAATCGAATAACTTAAGCGGATGTCTAGTGTGTAGTGTGTGTGTGTGTGTGTGTGTGTGTGTGTGTGTGTGTGGTGGTGGTGGTTGGGGGATCACCAAAAGTGAAAACACAGGAAAGTGAACTATTTAGAGCAGATTAACAACCTCCGGTGGCCTATTTGGCTTGATTTTTTTGGGTTCTGTTTGCTACCAATGGTTTCTACATTTTTAAAACACGGTTAAAAATAAAGGGAAAATGGAGGGTGAATGGCCTCTCACTCTCCAAATCTATAATATTTTGTCTCATAGCCAATTAGAGAAAAAGTTGTTGCCTCCTGCTTTAAAGAATCTCTACTTTTTTCTAAAAGTTCAGATCTGAATGTACTTTACTCAGTTCATTTCCCCCCTTCCTCAGTTTCTCTTTATGAGTTGAATATTCCAAAAAATATTAGAAAAAAATGTTCACTCCAGGAATAGTTGGCGGAACTGAAGAAGAAAGATTAAACTTGTAAATCATAGGATAGGGGTGGCAGTGATAGTACAGGGGGTAAGGCACTTGTCTTGTATGAGACCAACCCTGGTTAAACTCCTGGTACCACATCTGGTCCCTTAAGCCTCCTGTCAGGAGTGATCCCTGAGTACCCTGGGTGTCGCCCCCACAAACAAAGTTTGGACCTAGAAAGATACCTTACAAATATAGGGAAGAGACTGGGAAAACTAGCTCAGATGGTACATCCCAGTTATGTGTGAAGCCTTGAATTCTCCACTGTTGCTTGCTATCCCCCTACGATACTGCATGTCCCTCAGCACTACCAGATGTAGTTCTGGTGATCCCCTTGCTTCATGGGGATGGCCTCTATTTAAAATATATATATATAAATATATAAAATATATGTTATATATATACACACACATACACACATATATGATATGAAAAATCATTAGGGGAAGGGAGAAGGAAATTGGCCTTTGTTAGATGTGTGTGCAAAGTGCTTGGAGCACATAATCTTCTTTTATTGCCCTAGTATTATGAAAGAGACACTCAGTCCTCTGTGTAATAGGATATTATCTACTTTTTATGTTTGTTTTTATTTTGGGGCCACACTCAGCAGTGCTCAGGGCTTGTT